AAATACTTTATCGGAATATAAAACACTGATTCTAATTTAGAATATTTGTTTGAGTAAAAATTATACAATGAAGAAAATTATATTAGTCTGAAAATAACAAAGCCCCGTATTATATAAATATACACAGCTATTTACATATGTATTTTATAATTTAAACACTTTATATGAATTATTATTTTTATTTAGAATTATTCCAATACCTTTTCTATGAGAATTTTAAATTTATACAATACAAAAGAGATGTATATTGTTAAAAAAAAAACTAGTGATTTCTATTACATTTAAAAACGTTTTTGCATCAATATTTAATAGGCTTCACTATAACTCTTGACCTCACGTTTAATGTAGACTTAATTTGATTGATATATTTTACGCAATCACATAAATTGCGCGTTATTTATCTTTGCTCATCAGTTCATCTGTCAAATGTGTTTGTGAAATGTTCGTGAATGTAACAACACTCACAGACCATTACTATGAAAGTATTTAATTATATATAATATTTAATAAACACACATTACTTAGTTATTTAATTGAGAAACTTTTAATCATATAATTTTTCTTATATATCTAATGAATTCTACATGTATGTGACCAAGGTTTGAGAGAGTCAGATTTGTGTTTTGTGTTCCCTGATGCTAATCTATGAAAATAATGAGATCTAAGATTGTCACAAGTATTCATTTAAATAAAACTAATATTTTCAGATTTACTACGCGATTTTTACTCACTGAGTGTCACTTACATCTCGTCTGCCCCTGATCACGGTTACTGTAAAGTAACCGAAACGTCGGGAGTATGTAGTTCATAATCAAAAATAAAAATCGCGTAGTATATTCGAAAATATTCGTTTCATTTCAATCTATGAAAAACTATTTTTTATATATTCATTATCCTTTTTAATAGGATTGTATTTAAAATCAAGTATATTAGTCTTCGTTCCTATTTGGACAAATTTAATGATTAGTATACATAGTGTAATATATACAAAGAAACTCACTCGTTATGTTTATTTATAATGATTACGTGTTCCTTTCTATAATAGTTCATAAAATTTGAAATATTAACGCCATTACTACAACCAAGATAAGCAAGAGGATACAATACTATAAGGAATGAAACCTTTGTAAAAGACGTGATGTCTAGAATGTCGATAGTTAAAGAATTTAACAAAAGGAAAAGCTTAAACAGAAAATAGTCTTAACAGAGTAACGGAGAATATTTATTTCTTTGAAATGTATGATTTTAATTTATTGTTTAATATTATATTCTTACCAAAATAATATTTCTATAGAACAAAAAAAACCTATACAACAAATATAAGAGCGTCGTATCATAATAAACCTAGCGGGTAAAGTCGGCTGATATACAAAGCTTACAATGACCTTGCGAAAGAATTCGGTATTGACCCTCCCTTGTTCATCATTACGTGACTGAAGCCACCTTCGACATATAGAGCGTACTATTTAAATTAATTTTAAATATATACTTATATTACAAATGAATATTTATGCAAGGATGTATGTATGTTCGTTGCGCAAAACCTTCGCACGCATTCCGATGAAAGCTTAAAGTAACGTTGCCTACTTTTACATCATTAGAATGACGCCAGGGGTTAGATTTATGAACGTTTTGTTTGATTTAGCCTTCAGCAGTTGGAAATAGGTAATATTTTTCTACGTATTTAGTAAGAGAGAATATTTATTTGAACATTAACATTATATGCTATAAAGAAAAGTACATATATATTACAATGTAACTTAAGAAACCCATTTTACAAATGACTTAATTTAATCTTTGCAAAACAAAACAGCCTATTACGTAGAATTAAATAACAAATATTACACATATGGCGTATAATGCGTAATTTTCATATTTAAATAAAATTAAATTTGTTTCCTCTAGTATTATAATGAAAAAAACATTCATTGGTAACTCAGTAACGTTGTATGTAGATATAATGTATGAAAATATTCGCTTCATTAGTTATATTTTATTATAGTTACTAGTAATCCTTACACCATCTTCATACGTCATGTTTATGTGTTAGTGAAAGAGAATTTTACAGTTAATTTTAACATTGCAAGAGAAGGTATTTAACTATTTATTACTTGTTCGATGATTATAATTATTTATGTCATGCTGAACTGTTATATGACAAGATCAAATGTAAATGACTCTTTGTTTATGTCACTTATTTTACTTTTTTATGAAAGGTGGAATATATTTGGTATCTTATGTTTAAGTAAAAAGCTGTCATTGTGCACTGATATATTAGATTTTTTAGCATACACATTTAAATGAAACTATATGCTTTGGATCCTACTCGTTTTTTATTATTTTATATCTACATAATCCCTACATTTCGGTTACTTTATAACAATAGTCATCATGGGCAGACGAGATGAACTACTTTCATTTAGACCGAAAAACTTAGTTTCATTTAAACCATTACTAAAATTGATTCTAATTATTCCTTGGAAAATCATCAAAAAGATGATTCGTCTAAAATGAATTGTGGGTCATGACTTTCATTTTTTAAAAATGTGAGAGCATAAATTTATAAAGATCAAATTTTATGATTTTGATACTTTCATGGACGATTAACATAAGAAAATAAAAATATTAATACGAATATTATTATAAATGAGAGACTAAAATGACATTGGTCAACGGCTTAAAGACGAATAGGTTCATAATAAATTTGTTAGAATATTATTGAACTACTTCAATCTAGATCTTCATTTCAAGGTTATTTATTACAATAATAATACAAATGTTCCTCTTCTTATATTTATACAATCAATATGAATTAAACTTAGTAGTCAGTAAATATATGCATGTTTATTTAACAATATTGTACCGCTTTTGATTCTTGCAAACGAGTCTTAACCACAGTGAAGTGGGTGTATCAATTGTTTCAAAATTAATAAGATTTTCTCACGCTTCTGTAACCATACGGATGTGTAACTAGGATTCTGAATCATTGATTTTATCCAAACATCTTTGCTTAAATTCATTTTATTTTCGAAAGGCATTAAAATTAAAAAGAGTTTTATCAAAGGATAATTCATACTATATGATATATTTAAATTATAATTATATTTTTAAATATTTCATTATGATATTGCTTTCATTAAAGTATATTAAATACATAAAATCACATACTATAAACAGATACCCCAACATCAATACTGTTTAATTTTTATATACAGATTACTTAAATGACATTTGTTTCAGCATTAACATTATTTAAAATAATGTAATCCTATAGTATATATTTTTCTTATATAGTTTTTCCAAGCCTCCCCAACGTCCACATGTATTTAAAATCAAACAACAATTGTAATGTCATGTCATTGGACTTTTAGTTTAATTTGAGCCTAGTTTTTAATGCATTAATATAAAAAATAGTCTTTTAATTTTGACAACGTTTTTTACTAACAATATGTTTTTCATCAATATAGCAAAAAGTGCCCTTTGGACTTAGATTCAGATCAGTCTGTTACCTAGCTGAAAGTTATCATAATTTCCACGATACTATCTATTATCTAGTCATATTCCTGAAGAAATAACTGTAATATTTAAATTATTTAATATTAATATTTAATAATTTATATCAATTAAGTTGTAATATTAACTGAACATTGCAAATAACTTCATAAACTCACTTAACGATTATAACTCGTTAATGCACATCAATTCCTTATCAAAACAGGCCTTTAGGCATCGATTCACATTTACGTCTCTCTAGATCGGTTAGGTAAGGACGAATGGGCGAGTAAAGCCGCCGGCTATCGTGATGTGAAATATGACAAGTCTGATTAAAATATCTTGATTAATTTTCACATAACATTATTTACAATTAATGATTGTACTTTGAATGTGACTACTGAATTTGAAATGTCATATCTAATGCGATATGGAAAAACTTATTATTTAAGGCATTCTACAATGACAACGATAATGCTATTAAATAAGGATACTTACATTTTTTGAGCTAAATTAAAAATAATTATCCTTAAAACTATAATTAAGTAGAATACTGTGACTGAATTATAAGGATCCTAGTATTGTTATTAAACTATTTGCTGTTTAAAAGATATCATTTGGTTTTACCGCATTTATTACGATCAACAAAATATTTATGACTAAGCTAAGTTGAAAGGTAGCCGGATGCTTTGAAAGTGCTGCCGTTACTTAGACCTTTTAGTGAACTTTAATTTCTAAGAAGAGCTATTTAGAATTAAAATAATAAAAGTAAAAGTTTAGGCCGTTTGTTTAAAGAAACGATCTTTAACTCTCTTTATTGTTTATTGGTCAAATAGTATGAACTACATTTATATTTTTTTAATTTATTCCTTATTAAAAAAAATATAAATATCAAGGTTTTGACAAAAAAATCTTTATTGACTTATTGACTTGACCTCATTGTAATTAAATTCGCCTCCTCTTCTTTATGGTCCCTTGGATAGTAAGCGATCTAGTGATCTCTAGTGCACCGCAATGCAATGGCCATGATACCTTTTTACTACAGAGCGTTCTAAGGTAAGATGAGAGGTATATAACGTCAAGATGATCTAAGGAGAGCACAGTTCATCTCAAACCTTGCAAGACGCATCAGTTGAATCACAATTATTACTAATATGAAACTGGTGAGTATATTCCTTGGTTGTCTTGCTAACTAGAGCTAGAGCCATAGAATCCTAAACCTTCTGTATATATAAATAACATATATACATAAACACATTATACCAAGATACCAAGGATTTTTTAATTTTTCATTATATTAACATTTTCAGTTAAGGCGACTTATGTCTACTTTATAAATTCAAATGGAATAAGCATAATGTATAAAACTTATTTATGCAAAAATTTTATAAAATAAGTTTCAAAAATATGAAAGAAGATTCCTATCTTCTTGTAACCCGTTTTCAGATCGGCGATACGAATTCTGGTTCCTATGTACATACTTGTGCTTGAAATTTTGTAAAGAAAAAATGATTTTGTTACAGTTTGTAGTTGCCGCTATTCTCGGAGTCTGCTCAGCAGCCCGTCTTGACAACGCATATCTGCCTCCCAGAGGCGGAGATGGCGCAGGCTATGGTGCTACTGGTTCCGGCTTTGGATCCGGCTTCGGCAGAGGGGCTGTAGCAGGCTTTGGACCTAGCGGCGCTGGTTTTGGAGGAAATGCTGGAGGACAAAGCTACAGTGGAGCAGGTGTTGGAGGCGGTTCAGGTTTTGGACAAGGAGCCGGTCAAGGCTACCAAGGTTTTGTAGGAAGGAGCAACCCCGCCGACGCTAACGCCCAAATTCTGAAATACAACAACGAAGTTACTGCTGAAGGATTCTCATACGATTTCGAAACATCCAACGGTATTAGGGCTGATGCATCCGGGGTAGCCACTAATGGTGTCCAATCTCAGGGAAGCTTCTCGTACAAGGGTGACGATGGCCAAGACTACTCCATCACTTACACTGCTGACGAGAACGGTTACCAACCACGTGGAGCTCATCTGCCCACTCCTCCTCCCATCCCCGAGGCAATCCTGAAAGCCCTGGAGCAAAATGCTCGTGATGAAGCAGCTGGCATCGTTGACGATGGTAAGTTTACTTATTCACACTATAAACACAAAACCTTACATTATTGACAAGTCATTTTGATCATTACAAATATATTAATAATGTAGAACATACTAATAATTTACGAAATTTACTCGCTGCTATTAAAATCAAATAAATGAAGCTATAAATATTTTCATCGAACTATCACTATCAAGTTTATACTAACACTATAAATTTTATAGCGCTGGTTTTGACAGCAATCATTTATAATGACGGCAAAGATGATGTAATTAATATTGAAGACGCTTTGCTGTCTGTATAACAAATATTAAATAAAGCGACACCGATCGGTCTAAGGATTCAATAAAGTAAGAATGTTTTTTATAACCACATTACTTGGGCAAAAAGCAAGATTGATGTAATGAAATTCTTTAGAAATGAATCTGATGTTAGAGCAGAATTTAACCTTTAGAATAAATAGGCCAAGTTGATAATGAATAAGTTAAAAAGATACATGTAACTCTCAATGAAACTAAACCACATACTTTTAGTTTCATCACTTAGTTGTTTTTGCTATCATTACTACTAATAAAAACTGAGAACATTTTTAACAATGTTACATCAAAATTACATACTTCTTGCATCATTCCATACCCGGTACTAGATTAGGGCAAAAAAAATTATTGAGATGTACACTGACCAATAGTATATTTGGGTTTCTATTAAAGTCATAAGCCTTGATATTTTTAAGCTTTGTTAGTTACTACGTCACTCACATGAGTATCGAAATATTTTGTCCTGAAACTATTCCTTTCAATATAATTATAATGCACGGTCTTCATTATTGCAAACACGAAATTTCAATAAAATCAATCAATATTACTTAAGTAACTGGCTTATAAAAAGTTGATATAATCTCACGAAACTCCTTTTTAATGAGAGGTAACGTCTTGTGAGAAGCAATTTCTATATAATTACGCTTGATTGGGTCAGCTTAATAGTAAGATAAGGCACTTGCATCATGAATATTAGGAAGCAATTCGGTTCGGTCAAGGGTTAAAGTAAATTGTATAACATGTAATTTATTGAAGATCATTTAAACTGGTTTAATTTGTACGCATCTAGTGCTAAGATCACATCGTTTAGGTTAAATTATAAATTACAGATATCTCTTTTAATGAGGCAATCTTTCCGATACATTTATGGTGTTTAGTATACTTCGTTCTTAGAATTAAAGGGTCAGGCTTAGATTCCGTGAAGTACTTTCAATCGTATCGATCTTACTTTGATGTTCGACTGTAAGGCGTGGTCGAGTTTAAAGGTTACTTAAGTAGAAGGATCGCTTTGTAATTTTGTTATCCGGATCAAGTATATAGCGAGCGCGGCCAGAGCTTTGGTAGGGATACAAAAATCTGACTATTGCCCTATATACGCTAGTTTTCGCAAATATCGTGAGTTCAATGCGTGTTGGAATATTTAACATGAGATTATTCTCAGGCTTTATATGAGACCCGTTCAAATCGTGACTGTTACTGATTCTAATAAATAACTATTACGCTATATGATTAATTAAAATTTCATTCGTGACTTTCCTAATATTACAATAAAAAAATTGTTATAATGAGGGTAGATAATTTTTTTGACCTCAATTTTTATGATATCTTTTAAAATTATATTATTATGTAGTATTTAAATACTTTGTAATGTTATATTCATCACAATAGCCAAGTGAAGTGACTAATGATGCAGTAACGTTACTCAAACGTAAACGCTTTTAGAAATGACTGTTTAGTTTTAAAAATTTACATCATATTAAGACTAAAAGAATAAAATAAAAAGCAATGTTATTTATGTTAAAAATTTTAACATAATTTGTAAGAGAGGAAATTTTTAATAAGTTAAATTCTTTTTGTAATCGACATAGGTTTTCGGAATGTGGAATCTTATATACCCATAATTAAAAAAAGATCTATACATATACAAGTATATACATATATGTGAAGAAGAAACAGATATTAATAAATGGACATACAGGTATATATCTTAATAATGAAGTATAATTACACCACAGTCTACACATAATATATCTTCATTGCACATATGTATATTTCGTAAACTAAAACTGTATTTGTTATACTAAATGGTGTTTCACATCAGTTTAGTTTATAAAAGCGTTTTATGTGACAAAATATGTTCCCATCACACGGGAAACTTCAACAAAGCTACGGTTCAGGTTATCGCGTTCAAACATTCACTTATATTTCTCACACGTCTTTAATTTGTTTTAAAGCTAGCCTTTACTCGTGACTCGGTCTGGGTTCAATTGCTGGAGTCGAAATAATCCTATACGGTATCTCGACAGCATTTCAAACCTGTAAGCTAAAAAGCTACTCTGATTTTTATAAATGTAAGTTACGAGAAGTTATAAGAGGTATAAAAGAGGTATAAAAATTACAAAGAACATAATTATATAATTAAAACAATACATTTTTCTTGGTCAAATGTGGCTGGAAATAACATTCAAGTTAATCAACTTATAACACTCGTATAATATACAGTGAAATTCATATTGATAGTATTAAAAGAAAGCAAGCTTCAAATAGCTACAACAATGATTGTATTTAATCAAACTTATTCTTGATATATAAAATTTCAAATTCTAAAACCATTTATATTGCGGCACCTTCCCTTCACTCAAACCAGACATTAATACTCTTCATAAACTAAATGGTGAAATATGAGAGGATTTCAAATTAAATAAAGTATGAAAGGATTTTAAATTACTTAGTAGGATCAAATTATGATATAAGTACATTTCCAGGTTTGTATTAAATATATTTAGTAAACATCAGAAATAGATACGAAGTTTTTTAAAGTTATACAAATCTAGCTAAAAGTATGGGTATGGGTACTTGTTATAAATACATGATGGCAACGTTTAAAGTCAGAGTAGGTTTTATCTGGATCTTCGTTAAGGTTAAGGACATAAGATATCTTCCAATTAAATTTTTCGGAATTATCGTAATTTTTCAAAGAATTTCAATTTTGACGAAGTTATATTCCACTCCATAGACTTTTAACTTATTTAAATTTAGAACTATGTCACAATAAGTACAATACGTATTGTAAGTTTAAATAAGGTTAATTTAAAAAAAAATATATATTATGTTATCACATAATGATATATTAATTTATATGTTTCGTAATAATACGTCAAAGTTCGTAATACATGCGATGTACGAAATGTATGTCGCAATTGAAAATGGTTCAAAATTACCGCTCCACTTGTACTCGATGAGACGATTGTTTGCTAAAGGTCAACTTAAACGTTGTACAACAATCAAGAACTGCAATTTTATAATTGATCGAAATTAAAAACTTAATCTAGGCCAACGCTAGATCATGTTTTGCAAAAAAAATCATTGTTATTTCAAAAGCTTTGCTTTATATTTATTTATTACTTTTATTCTTTAAGCAACGAAAGGCAGAGTAACACTATAATAATGAGAATTATGATTTGAAACAGAAATATATCACATCTATTTTATGAGAATATTGTTACTTTTTCCGCAGGCTCTTACCGCGGCGAGGGCGCTGGTAGCGCAGGTGGTTACTCCGGCCAGGGTGCCTACTCTGGCAACCGTGGTTACAACTCTCAGGCTGGTAACTTCGGTGGTCCATCAGGTTTCGGTGGTTCTTCAAACATCGGCGCTGCATCCCGCCAGTACCTCGCTCCCAACGTAGGCGCCCGAGGGTCTGGCAACGGCAACTACAACTCCCAAACCGGTTACCGTTACTAAATAATTGACAGAATATAAGCTATGTTTTTATTAGTTTTTGTATTCCATCTATTTAATTAAATAAAATGTTTAACTAATACAAAACATAGCTGTATGCATTATTTATGTATAGCGCCATCTATGGATAAAATAACGATTTATGCTGTGAACCGATAATGTGATTGTAATATGGCTAGGCAGTCAAAGACGTTGACTTGGCTCGGAAACGAAACATGTTTTAATACTCACGTCTATTTACTCAGTCTTTCTTCCCCTATTCTTCATAATATGTGATCTCATTAACATTCTTCTTTCTCTTTGTTTCATTCTTCTCCTAAATAATATTTAATTGTAAGCTAGTTTAGAAAAGGCTATGTAAATGGACAGTACTAGGCTAGAAATTGTATTAAAATATGAAACGATTTGTCTTTATATAAATATTGTAAATAATTTAATGAAAATAAATGTTTTATAGCATATATATTATTTTTATTCGACATTACGAGCACTGGCACCAAAACTGGCACCAAATACTCAGAACACACAACCATAAATAAATACAAAACCTTGTTTTAACGATTTATTGTAGTATCATAAAACGTATTAAGTTTTTTATATAAAATATTATTTAAAAACGTTACATATTCTAAAGAATAATAATATAAATCCATTAAAATTTATAAATAATAATAATAATTAAAATCTGCTTCATTTATAATTAATTCAATTATTTGACATATCTATCTGATATAAGAATATAACCTTAAATAGTTTCGTGCAATTATTAGCTTTCCAGTTCTATTCACTACATAATATAAAACAAAGTAGCTTTCTCTGTCCCCATACCAGTATGTATGCTTAGATATTTAAAACTAAGCAACTGATTTTGATGAGATTTTTTTAAATAGATAGAGTGATCAAAGAGGAATGTTTATATGTATAAAAATATCTTTAAAAGGTTAATAAATAGTGCAATTTTTTATGTTTCTAATGTCATATCGTAAATAATTAAATTTTTCTCGTTTCCGTTGCAAAAGCAGGCTGAACCCTACGATATTGATTAAAATAATGTATTAAGTATTGTACATATTAAAAAGGTGTACAGAAAACTCCGGGATAGTATATGGCAATCTCTTATGCGTATCCCACAATAACATTTTTCCATCATTTACTTTTTAAGACAAATAATGGCCAATTTTGAAAGCGATTTAAAGCAATCGAGCATGAATCCTTGTCTAATTAAATACTTTAAATACACTGTTCATTCAATATAGATCTATATGGTTCTTTACGGCATAAGATTGAAATTTTATACCAGTGCGAAACGGGATAAGTCGCTAGTATTGCACAATTACGAAATGTTATGTATATACATTCAAGATCAGATCTGGTGACACTAGGACGTTTTGCAACTGGGATATTTTTGATATCAGTACAATAAGTACATATTATAATAAGAGTATTAGATTGGGTTAATATATCATCAGTAAAAAAAAAGTGAGATAGATAATTAATCAATGCTATTTATGCTAAGTCCATGTTTGCATCTTCACTTTTTGTGAATCAAAAATATTTTTCACTCTTATTAAGTATCCTCATGAAGTTTTGAAACAGTGCAAATTTTTTATCTTCCAACCAAAGCTGTCACTATATACGAAGCGATATATAATAGTTTTTCATTCATAAGTCGTCGCATGTAATTATAAATTACTAAAGAAGTAATAGAAAACGCTTAGAATTTTGTGGACGGTGCAAACTTGGATGTGACACAATGATAAAAGGAAAGGAAGGAGAGTTTACATAAAATGAACTCCGCAAGTTTCGTATCTAATATATATGTACAATAAAATATACGTATAAAAATAGACTTTAGTATTCATTCTTATATTTATTGAAAAACATATCGTTAAAAGTATTATTCGTAGAAAAGGCAGAATTACCTATACTTTTCTAACATCCGTCTTAACACAAATTTGCTATTCAAAAATAAATTCACAAAAAATACTCATGTTTTCTGCATGTACTTTCACATGTTTTGTGCTTATAAAATAATATTTATATTTATTACGTATTTTACCTTAAAAACTTGACTAATATCGTCTTAATAATTTTTTTTGGACCGACGTTTGTTTTAAATGAAACTACATATAACTTTATCTCATATGCCGGTGATCACAATTGCTGAAGAGTAAACGACACGTCGGCAGTATGTAGTTTTTAAAATAATAAAATACGCGCAGTAAGCCGAAAATATTAGTTTCATTTAAATGAATTCTCGTGAAAGTCTTAGATCTCATTACCGTTTATTTTGCTTATGTCCATGAGCTACAGTATACGTGCATGACCTAAAGATACAGAAACTAACTGCATCACATACAAATATTCCGCCATAAATAAACCTATCCATGAAAGCTTGCACAACACGCAGCGGAGTTGGTTTAAATTTATATCTATCTAGTTCAAAAGCTAAAGATCTGACCTCATCTCACATAGTCATTAGACTCATCCCACTTTATATGGTCTGAATGAACCAGTGTTTTTGCTGATTGCCAAGTTTGGTTTGGAATATCGTGCGATTGTAAATACCTGGTTTTAGGGAACACACACACAATATCGAGATGATTGTACAATTATAAATATTATTATATATGGTTCTTATGTATTACATTTTAGTTTGAATTAGCACAGACAATATAAATGAGGTATTTTGTATCTCTGTATATGACTGCCAAGCGGCATAAACTAAACATTTTATTGGAGTATTGGAGTATTAATATTAATAAATAAAAAATTGTTTGTAGAATTATGTCTTTCTTTTTATCCAGAGAACACTTTAAGGATCATTAGAAAATATAAAATGCCTTAAATTTTCTCTCCAACATGTTATTTTAATTTTTTATGCTACGTACGAAAATATTTAATTTTTTCGCCTAAAAATCCATAAATATAAAATAAACTTTGATTAAGAACTGATTTTTTTGTTTCAAAAACATATTGCCTAATGTGTTTTACACCGGTTTGGATACATACAGTGAAAAAATTACAGATTTACATGTATACAAATTTCAGTTTTCTTTAACTATAAATTTCGTTGTCTTTCTTTCTTGGTTATATAACATACTATATTACGAAAGTTGTGTGTAAAATTTTGTTTTATTTTAAATACAATACAATACATCTCTATACAATATATAATACAATACATACTTTAAAGTATTGATAGCTATTAAAGATAAGTATCCTGCAAAGTTCTAATGAAAAAAAAAAAGTTTCCATCAATCCTTTCTTTCGAAAAAGTTTCCTTAACACAAACTTATCGTATAGCAAATAAAATATAATGAAATAATTAAAAAATCCTTCTTTATTATAAATTATAAGAAATTGATGCTACATTATAAAATATTGCTATTTTATAAAATATTTGAAAAATCCATTACATGATACAAAAGGACGAAGTTAATACAAATTATTACTTGTATAGTATATATAAATTGCTCGTTATTTCTTCCGAGTCCGACCGTATAAATGTAGTTTCTCCCCGCAACAAATTAAGGCGATGTGATGCCATCACGTACGCCTATTAGATCTTAGGAAGCCGATAAATGTAAGAATTGCTGATAACGTACAAGTTAATTGCAAATGTATTATTTATAAAGCATCAGTTAATAAAATGTTCTCTTTTGGTAAGTGTGTTCTACAAACGTGAGAATCTTTAAATCCTTATTTGTGTTAATGTCTTGCTTTTTAAGTGACAGCATTTATATTATGAAGTTATTCAATTAAAACATAAAGATGAAAAAGATAATTCTTATTAAGTAATATAATCACGATACATCTATACAGGACACCACAAATAACCTTATTAAATTTTGTATTTTGTCCACGAAAATTTCATGATTAAATATTTTTACACGTCAAATATTGTAAATAGAATAATTAGTTTTATAACGCAGTCAGTACACATTATGATAGTGTCTATTTACGAGAATTTTAAAAATCCATTGTTTCAGAATATGAATTGATTAATAGTCAAGCTTGTTTTACTTTAAATAATACTTAACCTAAGAACTGGTTTACGATATAAAATGTTTATGTAACGTCTTGTTAATCAAATGGAAAATCTGATTCAGACCAACAACTTTATTACTATAAACATACAACTCTTATACATTTTAAAGACAAAGTGCATATACTGAGTATAGATAGTAATTTATTTAAGTAATACAACTCATATAATTTTAATAATAATGGTACAAATTAAAGTAATAAAAATTCAAATATTATTGTATTCGAATCTAGTTCTTTTGAAGCACGTTAAATATAAAGAGTTAGAAGATCCAATATATCGAAAAAAAAAAAATTATATTTTAACTATATTAATACGTTAAATCAATATAAATTAATCACTAGCTTCGTCTTGTAACATTAACGACAAATCAATTAATTATGTAATTAGGATAAGAAAGTTTTTGTCATATGAAATCCAATCCCGCCAGCCACTGAGCTAACACATTGCTTTCCAATTGAAGAACTGGGTTCGACAAGGACGTATGTTATAAGATAAAGATATAATAAATTTTTAAAGTAAAGTTTTAAGGCCTTACAGTATTTTTATATTTATAGTTTGACTTATATGGACATCATCATTTATTATTTATAAAGCCATAGACCAATTTTAAAATCAAGTTTTTTTTACTTATTTTGAAACCTATTAACGGTCGGCCGTATTCAATCCTATTGTTAAAACATATGAATGATATAAATTCTTAAAGGATTGTTTATTTAACTATTGATTTTAAAGAAAATAAATAACAATTTTAATACTTAAATTAGGAAGTTTTAATTTTATTCAAATGTAAGTTATATTCTTCTATACGATCACGTTATTTGAACGTATCATTTTTCTTAATAATATTTTCTGACTTCCTTATTTTAAATCAGATTCATCCAAGTATTCACTTTACCGAAGGGAATCACTCGAATCAGTTACACTCGGACTTCTGGACGGTCCAGGGAAATCTTCCCAGCTATGTAACGACATAATTATCTTTGCATACTCGTATATCAAGTTCAATTAACGTATAAGATAAATATTTTTAGTTTTAGATGGTTACTCACTACAGGTCGATTATGGGCTGGCTCGACCGGCAAAGTCCCACCCTCTTACAGAAGATCGGCGTGAAGTAATCTTTAATGACTGCATTCCTTACGATAAGTGATAATGCCGGCTGTCCTTTCCCTGTTCTCACTCGTTCCTGCCATTTCCTTATTTCCACCCCTTCCTTTCCCGTAACAGCTAAAGTTGGCAACGCATCCGTAACATCTCTGTTGTGGATGTCCATGGGGGACGGTGACTACGGCCCATCAAGTAGGCCGTCTGTTCGTTTGCTACCATTGCCATTAAAAAAAATAAGAATGCTCTATGTTGTTTCTTTTTCAATTTTGTATTCAAAAATACCAATATCGCGTTGAAGATAGTAAATTGAAATTTTATATAAGGATTGATTTCTTGTTTTTTGATGATGATGATTTCGACATCATACTCTAGTTAAACCTATGAAAATATAAAAAAACTTGAAAATAAATAGAAATTATTAATATTAAAAGGAATTCATATAAATATATTATTTCGACTGACATTTAAACAATATTTGATCTGCCCAATTATTTCAGTCACGTGATCGACGAAAATTATTTATTTAAACGAAATTTAGTAAATTATTTTGTTTTATTCTTTTAATTGTATGTAATATGTAGATTTAATTGGTAATGTTCTTTTTCATTTATAAAAGTAACTAAATTTGATTATATAGAAAAAAGTATACTGGGGAAGCTCTAGGGTATGTTGATTAATTTTTTCGTCTTAATTATGTCGTATTAAAAAATAGTAGGGGAAATTAATTTAGATCAAGATTTTTCTTTAAAGTGGTTCATTATTGCTATGTCCTACACGAATGACATCGAATACAACCAAATACTAATTGGACTTTGTTCATTAGTAGACAATTAATGTCGTGATATACAAGTTCCGTATTCATTGAAAAGGTCAGATATATGAATCTACAATGAATAAAATGTTACTATAATATACATATGGGTTTAATTGATTGTAGCCTCTTAAATTATTTTGGCACGAAACATCAGAGGCATAGTTTTGTTTCTTAAATTTTTTTTATCGGCACTCCAACTTAAATTGGTTGCTATGAGTTTAATGTGTAAAAAATACATAGATAAGGTTAACTTAAGATATTATTTTTAATGTACACAAGTGTGATGATCAGCAAATATTTTTTTTTAATTAAACATGCTTAAGCTTCCATTATAGTATTGATTTGTTGGCCTACCAATAGCTAGGAATTGAGGTATTATGACTTGAATTGACTTCATCAAGACTTTTTGTATTAAAACAAATACAGGGTACGAATTTAATAATTTTAAAAAACAAAAATTTAATTAAAGATTATTAGAATTCATAGAATACACTAACTAAAATAAAATTTATATAATTTTACAACTAGTAATACAGAGACACTTAACAAGCATAAAATATATGAAATTTACGAAATAATAATTTGATATTTTGCAATAAAACTATTTATTTTTATTACTTTTTTGATATTCAAAACAAATGGTACTTTTTATCTTCAACATTAGTTAAATATATTAAGAATATTTGATAAAAACTTGCTATTATAATTTTTTTTAACTCATTGATGTCTTTAACAAAACTCTTATTTCTGGTTTCAATTAAAAATCAATGTGTTAATAGTTCTAATGTCGTGAATTGATTTTTTGTTTCCGTACTTAATAGCCCTTTTAGAGTTCCGTATCAAACAAAAAATATATTTTAAGATCGAATGATAACGATTAAGTATTTTAAATATATAATTTATATGACAAATACTTTTTTTTAATCATTAAGTTTTAATTAAGAAAGTCTCTTGACTATATAAGATGACTATTGAAAAAGTCATGTTGTATTTCTTTTTGTTTTATGCGTTAGACGTTCATTATTGTCAATTTCAGATTCCTCAGCTTCAAGAAAACAACATACGAACTCAGGGAATAAAAAGCAAAAGATTATTATTTATACTTATTATTTTAATACTCTTTCCTAGCCTAAAATAGTAAATAATAAATTTTAATTCGCCGGGTGATAAGATATTAAGAAATTGTATATATTTAGTTAAGTATCGAATTGTATTTTTAGAAAGTAAATAAAAATAATGTTCTTTTGAGGTCGATTTTTGTACAGATATTTAGAGTTTATTTCAGTTATCAAAAGTATTTAAATTTAAAATATTTTTTCATTTTATTTATCGATACCTAAGTTTTTTTTTTTGGAAGTTGAATTAATTTTACTTATAAATAATTTTATTCGTCTAATTACTGTTACAGATACAAAAGAAAGTTCTCAAGATATCTTGTAAGACATACTGACACTAAAATAGTATATAATTAAGCATTAAGTTTTTAAATTTTAACTATTTACAGTTGACAGAGAAAATTATTTAAAGTAGTTATTTCTATACTATATACACGAATAGATTTATTACATGAAGTACTGTTTACATGTTTACATCAGACAAAAGTAAATGATATATAAAGAATAAATGTGATTCATTTAAATATTTTGGATCAAAAAACTAAATAATTAAACTATAAATTTGTACACAAAAAGTTTGAAGCACACTACAGAATATATCCAATCAATAGTTTATTACAGCATAAAAATATATTGTAATAATGATTTAATTGCAAACATGATATTAATCGTTAGTTTTAGAGTTCCGCGTTAATATTTAATAGTAATATAATATTTGTTCAAATATTTATTATAACTAATATTAAACATTTCTTTGAGTACTAATTTTATGTAATACGTAAAAATTGTTTTATTTTGAAGATTTATTACACTTTTTAACTTAATATCTGCTGTTGTATTTTAAAAAAATAATAATATCTTACAATAGAATTACATTTTTTGAATAATATTTCTGATAAGTAATTTTCCATCTTTAACACCACCTCATCGGTTATGATAAGATATATTTATTATACGTATTTCCGAAAATTTCTAAGGCTACAGTAATAGTTAATATTTTGAATCGATTAAAAATTGATTTTTAAAGACCTGAGATTTTAAATAATGTCGTCATTGAAAAAAACTATTTAGATCTGAATGAACAACATTAACCTAAAAATTAAATTATTATATATATTTTTTATTATATTGTTTATAATATTTTATAGTTAAAATTAACCTTGTGCTTAAATATTATTTGGAAATGACAAATGCTTGATAAAAAGGTTAGTATAGCTAGAGAGAGGCACGGATATATAAAATTAATCTATTTTTCCATTTGCTATATTTATTTATAAATAAATTTGTATATTTTATATAATTGTAGTTACATTTATCACTGTTTTACTAGATTTATATTCATGTACATAAAAAAGTCCGAAAAATATTAATACAGTATATATATTATATTTTTGTGATTTCAATTGAATATATTTAGGCTTTTGAAATTTTACTGATCACAAGCAAAGAATTGCATTACAAACTTGCTCCAAATTTGTATTTATTATCATAACCACGTACTGTTACTTTCATGATTCTCCTTAAGAAGCATTGTCCTGATAACGCTCAAGAGCTTTCATAATAAAATCGTTTACAGATGCTTTTAATTATTGTGTACCCTTGACTGTTTTTTGACAGACGAGGTCGGTAAAGAAAAAACCAAGTTAATTACTCCATGCAAATCATATCTCGGCTTTTATTATCTGTTTTACAAAACATGACGTCAGTCCTCGCGTGAGATGATCAGGATTAGAAACAGGTCATTTGGTATATAACAGTCCAAATATTTTGTCAGAACCACAGTTTTGTGGAAGCTTCTTTCGGTTGTAGAACAACGTATCCAAAAAAATGAAATTGGTAATTTCATATATTAAAGATTCTTGATAAAATATAACGAGAAATTTAAGAGTTTGTAAATAATAACTATTGTCATTTGGTTGTTTTCAGTTTGTATTTGCTGCTCTGGTTGCCGCGGCGTCTGCTGCTCGACTTGAACATCTTGAACGCTCCTACCTTCCTCCTGACAACCGCGCTCAAAATGGAAATGGTTTTGGGTCAGGAAACAATAGATTCGGTGTTAGTGGACACAGTTCCAATGGATTTGAGTCGAATGATGGCGATGACGTATTTGGATCCAACAATCAAGGTTCATTCGGAGTTGGTTCAAACGGTCAAAGCGGATCTCTTGCATCAAATAGATTTGGTGCTTCACAAGGATCTAATTCAAATGGATTAAACAAGAATGCAGGTTTTGAGGTTGCTACTTCCAACCAATATCTACCTCCTGTTCAAGGACAATCTGGATCTGAAGCTGAACCCAACAGCTTTGGCAATCTCGGATCATCCATCTCACGTAAATAAATTTTCAACCCTTCACTGTTTAAAAAATTAACCCACTAGTTTATTTGTTCCGCGATCTCTATATTTTTATGCTTACATACAAATAACATATTTATACCAATATAATATAAGTTATATAATTCTTACAGCTGCCTGCATTTCCTGTGGAGCCTACAATCAGTACAACCAGGGTGTTCAAAGTCAAGTGCCAAGTTCTAACTACGGAGTGCCTCAATTGGGATCACGCAGTGGCTCTCCCTCTGTAGAATCTAACGGATTTGAATCTCAATCTGGATCGCAAGGATTTGGTTCTCAGGCTCAAATTGGAGCCGCCAATCGTCAATACTTAGCCCCTAAGTACTCTGCCCAGAACCCACCTCAACAACCATTCGATGAGAAAACTGGTTACATTTATTAGGTATAAATTTATCTTATAAATACAACATAGAATATTGTATATAACTGACTTCCTTTTTTTACTCCTGAACCATGTACTCACTTAAATAAAATATATATCTTAAAAATTATTCTATTTTTATTTGACACCCCTATTTTGCTCTTTATAAAGGTAGTGCACTTTTTATCAGATTTTATATCATCGTCTTAAAAAGTGTTAATTGATTGACTAATTTTTTTATGTAATCGACAGAAAACTCTATGTTTTTCATAGAATATTTAATATTATCATTTAAAAAGACGCAGGTCAAGTCTTTTTGTCTATTTGTGAGGTAATCGGAGCACGTTAAAAATGTTGTTTTGAAAACCTTTGAGTTACAACACCATATACTTTTTTATAAAGTGTGTCTATTTTTAGGATACAGAATTTAATACTTACTAATTTTGGAACTAACAATTTAGTCATTAAAATATTTTCTAATATTAAACCAATTTGAAACATAATACGAAATGAGTTACCTCAAAAGCCCAGGCGACGTTTGTTTTAGTTGTTTTCCGTGTTATATAACGACATAGTTCTTTAAATATAAACATTTAGTTTTTCTACGGTATGAGCCCTTTTTTAATATCTTTCGTTATTCTCGGTTATTATATTTTAGTTACACTCCATTGTTGAACCATGCTCCAAACCTGTTTACGATCTCTAACCTTTTTTGATTCAATTTGTTCCAGTTTTTGTGAGTTAAAAATAAAATTTAATACCATCTATTCATAGATTTGTTCTACCATTCATAATATTAAAAAAAAACATATAATATAAATATCTAGATATTCTAATATCAATTCTTTTTATTCTTTTGAAACTTAAACATTTGGAAGCCTTAACTGAGATAAAGTAAGTAGGCCTTACGATCGTACAATTATAAAACTACAATAATAAAAAAAGGTTTGTTAGCTAAAAGTGTCGAATTGTGTTTTATAAAAGGCGTTAACATTTAAAAATCTTTCATTTTCTGACACTACTCACAATTTGGCAAGGAATATTAAGTTATTAGAAGTACTTTTGTTAAATTGACTGTCTAATAGTTTTAACTCATGGATTTTTTTAAAATTAATTAATAATATTTCTAAATTGATCATTTTAACTATTGTCATTACTTGAGCTGATCGCAAAGCCTGACACAATTATTGTTATAGTTTTTTTTATATAAAACTTACATATTGTAAACATAATTTACATGGTGAAATATTACACAAAACAAAAGACGTATCACTTCAAATCTATCCCATCATGTATAATAAGTATAAAAGAACTATTGTGACTTTTATTCAACAAAATCTTCAAAATTATGACAATTTAGATCACAAATACCAAGACTGATATTCTTTTATGTCATTTTCTAGTGATAGTGTGATTATGAAGGCTACATCAAAGAAATCAAACTGTGTAGATAAAAATAATACAGATCGTCTTATCTCCTTAATACTTAATAATAATTAGGCCAGAAGAGGTCCATCATATAATTTGCAATTTATATACCTCATAATAAGGATCAAAACATAACAAATAAAATAAATTATTGATGTAATATGTATATTATTTTAAAACATATAAGACAGATTAATGTATCAATTTGTGAATTCATTTCTTGGCGGAATCGAAAAATAGGTTTGGAATAACCTAAAACTATTAAAATTTTATGCTTATCCAAAGGTTTACATATTTTTAATAAATGTACCCGCTGTTCTCATCGAACGGCTGCTGTGGAGATTGTTGTGATGCTGTGTACTTGGGGGCTAAGTACTGTCGACTGGCAGCCCCAAATTGAGGTTGGGAGTTAAAAATGTGAGAATTCTGAGATCCAGAATTAGGTCTGAATCCGTTAGATCCCATAGATTGGCTGTATTGAAACTGTGGTCCATCCAAGCTTGAAACTTCAGAAAGGCCATGATGAGGTGGCAGATATTGATTGGATGTTGCACCTTCGAAGGTATTTCTGTTTAATCCACTTGAACTTGAGCTTGGTGATGCCAATCCAAATCTGTTGGATCCATAGGAGCCTATGTGGTCATTTGAGGGAACCCCAAATGAATTTTTACCATTAGAACTAAATCCGTTAGAGTTGGGTCCAATACCACTGAAGTGGTTATTTCCAGAACCAAAATTATTTCCGCTGTGAGCATCATTTTGAGGTGGAAGGTAAGAGCGCTCCAGGTGTTCCAGACGGCCAGCTGACGTCATCGCAACCAGAGCAGCAAACACAAACTGAAATATTTTTTTTTATTAATCTTAATATTGTATTACAACTATTGTTATTTATGTATAAACATTGCTCTTTAATAACTCGTGTTACCAATTTCATGGTTGTTGTTCTTGACAAGTTGTTGTAGCACCAAATAAAGCTCTCATTAAACTGTGATTCTAAGAGACTACTCCATCTTTTATATACCTAATGATCTGCTTCTCATCCTGAACATCTCACGCGTAATCTGACGTCATAATTAGTACTTTAGATAATAAGAAGTTAGATATGATAAGCATCAATTTTTTTAATGACCTCGTTTGTCAAATTGTACTTAAGTTCATAAAATTCTGTCTATTTTTTATTTATAATGAAACTTGTATGTGGCTTTAAATCCTATACATTATTTTAAAGAGACTTTACTGAGATATTATATCAATAGTTTTATTATTATATTACTTTATCTAATCTCACTGCAGATGTTTGGATTTGATGAAAACTAGTCACGTTTTATATATCTAACGAAGGGTTAGTGGTAAGTCATTCCCTGTAAGAAAGCCTCTTTAGTTAATAGTATATACAATAAGATATAAAAATATCCGCGGAACCAAACAGTATCACATGAATGTTTATACGTGGGTGACCCTTTGATGTCTCCTAAAGTTAGCAATTATCGCGATTAGAGGAAGATGATATAGGGCGTTAATTTATTTTAATTCTGAAATTTAACTAAAAATATAGTTGTGAAAATGTTGTAATTAGAAGTCATAGGGAAATAAAAATAACTATAAATGGGTTGTATTTAAAATAACAAATTTGAAAGAGTTAAACGAAGTCGTAAATTAAATATTGTTTAAATTTAAATGCAACAGAAACTTCAAAGTTCTCTATATGAATGCAATATTATAATCTAGATCATGACAAACGTATGTAAATGTAGCATTCACTATACTTGGACCTTGACACTGGTGAATGAGCTCATTACTTATCTTCTTAAACTATAAAAGCATTTTACCTTATTTTATTTATGTAGTACCATCGCATTTAATATGTATATTATGAAAATCCTTTATTGGTCGTATCCCACTTCCAATCACGGCGTTTCTGAAGTTTTGAGAAAGGGTATACTACGTTTAAAAATAAATAATTCAGTAGATCTAAAGGAATCAGGTCTAATTCTGATTCTCAGATGTTTAGCTCCTTGCAACAAATTGACGCTACCAGTCGTCTATAATATTATAGACGACTGGTAGCGTCAATTATAATTAATTACTCCTAGATATAAGTCCTCACAAGAGGCTCCAAAATAGGTCTTTGATGAGTGAACTGCCCTCATTTATTAAAAAAATACTCTATGTTATTTATGTTATCGTCCCTTTATTTGTATTATTTCGTTAAAAAAATTTTAATAATTTTTTATTAAGTATTTATTTCATTATTAATTATTGCTATTACTGTTTTTCTAAAGTAAAATGACAACTAATACAAAATGATATTCTTTCCAGACTTGGTTGGAGTCTGGTTAGCCTAACATTCGTTTGCAAATAGGTTTATAAGTACCCCATCCGATAAATATAATCATAGTAATATGAAATAGAAATGATAGGTTTCAGTAAATTATTATATGATATGTGTACAGATTGCTCGAAAGTTTTAAAATTATTATTTGTATCTTGAAATAAACGTCTATGATTCGTTTATGGTTCGAGCCATTTATAAAGTTTCATAGCAAAAGTTACTTTAAGAATCTATGTTATTAAATTCTCTAATAATTTTTTAAGGCGCTTGATAGTTATTTGTTTTGAATCAGTCGTGATGTTATATTGCTATAAATATAAACTTAAACGATTTTCTTTGTTTTTATACTCATCCTAGAGCAAGGATGAAATAATTACTTCCAAATTATTCCAGCCTTCGTCCATGGTTTAAATATCCTATAAAAATACTGTTCTTTGTAAGAAGCAAAACAGATTTCAAGAACAGTAATATAATTAAAGTTATAACATTAATTATACTACATATATTACTACACTCTTGGTTAGAAGCGAGTTCAATTATTGTTCATTAGCATGGAATTGTCCTTATGAATAGTTAAATTTGATAAAAAAGCGAAAATTACAATTTTCACGATATAATTATGTCTCCAAAAATATTTTAAAAGTTATAGCAATAAGATAAAATGTTGAAAAGCTTTGTTGCTATCATACCGCAGATAATTGTTGAATCTAAAAGTACCTACCTATGTTTTGTACCTATTCTTTTAATGCGAAATCATATTTGACAAAAATAAATTTCTATACACTTTTGTCATTAGACATAGAATTAGAATTTTACAAATAAGCAAACATTAGAAATAGAATTTTACAAAAAAGCAAACATTTGGGTCTTGAACTCATAAAACTAAATAATTTGTTACGTCTCACCTAATTAAAATAAAAATAGCGTATCATGGTTTTACGTAAAAAACTAACAGAAACGTTTTAAAGCCTTCATTTAACAAGATATCAAACTAAATAAAAAACTTTTTCATAAATAGTGAGTAAATGTGGTTATTTATCTAACTTTTTACAAAGTACTTAATGACAATTTTTAATTTTAAATACAGGGTGGGCCATGAATTAGTTAACATTTGAAATAATCATTTAAAAAAAACTATTTGACATATTTTAAAAATTGTTTTATTAAAAGAAGGCTAATTAGTTGGAAATTATTTTAAAAAAATCATATCATCTAAATGACCACTATTTCGATTTTTACACTCTTCTAAGCGAGTAACGAAATTTTCGAATACTCGTCCGCACTGAGACCGTGAGATCGTCGATATCTTTTCGCTGATTTTTTCTTTTAGTTGACGTAGTGTATTTGGTTTATCGATGTAGACACGACTCTTTAAATAACCCCATAAAAAGAAGTCAGCTGGGGATAGATCTGGACTTCTGGGTGGCCATGGAATGTCACCTCATCTGGAAATCAGCCTTTTCGGAAACATTTCTTTAACCACCGGCAGGGATTCGTTGGATGTGTGACAAGTGGCTCCATCTTGTTGAAACCATGTGTTACGATTGTAGTCAGAAAATTCCAGTAGCATCGGTGCCAAAAACTCCCGTAACATTTTCACATACCAAGTAGAATTAACAGTAACTGAACGGCCGTGAGAATCTTCAAAAAAGTAGGTTCAATTATTCCTTTTGCTGAAATTGCAGCCCATACAGTTATCTTTGGAGAATGAAGTGGCCTTTCGTGTTTAGCTTTAGGATTGTCACTGCTCCAATATCTGCAATTCTGTTTGTTTACATGTCCGTTAAGATGAAAATGGGCTTCGTCAGAAAATAAGAGGTTCTCAAAATTACTGAATCGATCTAGCAGTTTCAGCATAGGACTTGCGTAAATTTAAATCATTAGGTTTTAGTTCCTGCACCAATTGGATCTTATACGGATGCAATTTCAAATCTAACTTCAAAATACGGCGTTACGATGTGCGGGATAATCCTAATTCAGCCGAACGTTCGCGCGTCGATAAACCTGGATCACGTCGAACAGAAGCAGAAACTTGCTGTACGTTCTCTTCGCTCCGAGAAGTCCGTAGGCCGCCGGTTTGCTTTATATTTAGTGTAGATCCCGTCTCTTCGAACTTCTTCACCCATTTCTTTATTAAAGGACCACTCGGACACTGACTTAAGTCGTGTAAATCATATTCACCACGAAATAAGCGTCTCACAGAAATAAGCGAATTGTTGTTTAAATAAAATTGTTTCACACAATAAACGCGCTGCGGCCCCGTGAAGCGATCCATTGCTAAAAAAATTCCGAGAAACGAGCTAGTGACAAGACCCCTCCCCGCGCCCCGCGCGGCATTTATTTGCGTAGGGTATTAGATTCAAATGTTAACGAATTCTTGGCCCACCCTGTACTTATTAATTATTGGGTAGAAAATAAGTTCATATGTAAGTTAATATGTATATTACATATTATGTGGGTTATTGAGATATGGTTTAAGTTTTTAAATGCATAAATAGATCTGACGGTATAAGTCTCAGACAGTTATTTTTTTGGATTTTATTTAAGGTTTGATATATTTTATATTATCAAATTGAGGTATAAGCTTGGTTCAATCTAAATTTTGTTTATTATATATTTTATCTCATATGATTATAATCAGTGATAATGAGAAGTGATTTTGTATGCCTTGAATAAATGTAATGCTGATGAGAATTATCAGTTCTACAGTCTGTTTAAGCATTTAATATTTAATTCAAATGACTTCATGAAAATTATGTGTAGTTTTTTGGTGATTCTTTTTTAGCATTTTGTTGATTTAAAACAACTCAAATGGCAAGAATGTGCAAAAAAGGTAATTTGTTGTTTATGAAAACATTAATGTCTCAAAAGTATTGGTTACTATATTACATTTTTTTACAGCTGCTTTCATTAAAAGATTGAGTTGCAAAAATTTTCACATACATTAAATTTATATGATTACAAATACCAATCAAATAAAAATTTTAAAAAATCATATTGATAATAATAGCCGTTTACGTATTTAAATTAATCTGAATTACAATAAAGACAATATACGAAAATATTACGAAATCATATAAATATTTTTAAGAATATCAAGTGTATATATGTATATGAACAAAAAAAATAGATTTATTCTTAATGCAAGTAGGATAAAATTTATATTCCTTCAGTATAAAGTTATGAAATAGTCCAAAATATTGTAATGTAAAAGCTTCAATCAAATCAAAGATCAATTATAATGGCAATTCGCAACCTTGTTTGTTAAAGGTTTGCTCTAATTACATAGCATCAAGCATGATATCATCATACTACAAAATCATAAGATTATTTATGTTACTTTACGTGATCAACAGCTCTAGGTCACCGAAAGCAAAATTCGCCATTTATTTCATTTGGCGAAACCATTCCTATTAACCGAAAAATGCAAATTGAATTGCAATCGCAAATTATTTAATTTTTCTTGTAATCACCAGCTAACTATTGAAACCTCCTTTAACTGTTCTTACAAACCCTGATAACGACGAACAGCACTCATAATAAAATCAATATCTTAGTGCCTCTAATTAATTATTGACAGACGAGGTCGGTCTTAAAAAAACTTAAATTAATCCATAGCTTTTGTTGTACATTGTACAAAACATTACGTCAGTCCACGCGTGAGATGATCAGGATTAGGAGCAAATCTCTTGGTATATAATAATCCGAATTGTCTCTCAGAGGCACAGTTCAAAAGGAGCTTTGGCTGGTTATACATCAACTTAACTGAAAATGAAATTGGTAATAAATTCTTTTTTTACTTTTGATAAAGTGTACCTACTCTAGTATGATCTATAGTCTTTGGAAATTAATGATCTTTATGTGGTTTTCAGTTTGTATTCGCTGTTCTGGTTGCTGCGGCTTCTGCTGGCCGCCTGGAGCATCTTGAACGCTCCTACCTTCCTCCTGACAGCCATGCTCATAGCAGAAATGGATTTGACTCAGGAAATGGTCGTTTTGGTGTTAACGGACAAAGCCCCAATATATTTGGATCTAATGGACAAGATTCAGTTGTTATTGATTCAAATGACGGTGCATCCTTCCGATCAAACGGATTTGGTGCTAATCAAGGTTTGGGCTCAAATGGATTGAACAGAAATGTAGCATTTGGAGGTGCTACCTCTAACCAATATTTACCACCTAATCATGGCCCATCCGCATCTTCAAACTATGGTGGACATCAGTTTGGTTCCCACGGTGGGTCATCTCTGGGTTCCAACGGTTTTGGATCTCTTTCTTCATCGCGAGCATTCGGTTCTCAGCCTCAGTTTGGTGCTGCCAGCCGTCAATACTTAGCTCCCAAGCACTCATCATCTCAACAAACTCAACAACAGCCTTTTGATGTGAACTCTGGATATATTTACTGAAAACACCATTTTTATACAATTAAACAAGTCTCATGTATTTTGAAACAACATAATATATAACTTTGTATGGAATCAATAAAATATATAACAAATAAATTCGTACTATATATTTTTTTCTTTTATTTTATTTAATATTTTATTATTTATAAATGTCAGTCTGTGATCTTATTTTTTGATTGAAGTTTTATTTAATTTAATATAAGAGAAATAAATATTTTAATACTAGTTAAAAAGCAAAAATAAATAACCTCTGAAGACTATACCAAAAATTACTTTTATATAATCATTTTAAATTTGCTTACATCGTTTTTAAATATACTTTAAAAAATATATATCTTTTCATCAGGAAATATGAATCAGCGAGCTGAAAAAGAAAATATATAAAAAAATGACACGAAGTGCATGAATCGGAAAAATATTAATCAACGAATGACAAGCATTAAAAATACGTTTGGGTTATCACTCTTAAACATTGCTTACTTATTGACGGGTTTTTTAATTTAAATTTTATACATTAATTTCTAATAACTTTACATCAGAGGATGTTATGTGGTACATAAAGGCACCCTATACAAAACATAAATAAGAGAGAACAATACAGGTAACTAGAATCAAAAACAAAAAAATTAAAATATTAGCTAAATAAATAGACAGATTAAATTTCGACAGTTTTCAAAAATGAATAAAAGAATAATTTCTGTTTTTTCGATTACGCTTTGGGTATATAGATTACTGATAAAGGAACTGAAAAGACTAAAATCAAGATACTAATGAAAAATCTGTATTCATTATAAATTATTTTCAGAATTTATTTTTACAATTGAATATATGTATAATATAAGAATAAAGGCTGAAAACAAAACTTCACTCATGATTCTAAAATTATTCAAATCTTTCTCTTTGGTATGTTCTCATGGACATCGATAGAAAAACGGTAGATTAAATTTAATGCCTAAGCAATTGGCACTTAAAACATTGTTTCTTAGAAAAATTTTATCCCAGGACAAAATAAGGTTTCTGTTTAAAAATATAAAACTTTCACAGATTTGAAACTGTAGTTATAATACAAAAGTAAATATATATAAAGCTTCAGATTTTTGAAACTGAATATCAAATATAAAATTTGATGTAAAAATTTTATTAAGCTGAAAGTTATCAGTCATTAATTCCCTTACATGGTGTATAGGTTGTTAAATGTTCAACGGGAAACGTTTCATTTGCAGTGTGACGATGCAAAGTTGGACTATATATAAAAACATGTCCTAAAATTCCTACAACTATTAAAAATAGTGAAAGGGACAAAAATATAAGACAATAACTGACCAAAGGTTAATGTAGTGGTAAACATAAAGAAAAAAATTAAATCCCTGAATAGAGCTGGAATAGAGCTTAAGAAGAGTAACAAATATTGGATCTAAGCTTTGACAAATCTTTTTTTTTTCGTCTGTTTCATTCCCATTTAAAATTTATAATTTCATACTCATTATATGATCTATCTTTTTAGCTTTTTCAAGTGAAGAGAAAAAAATGATTATGAAGCGACATGACTCTCAATATCGGATATTATTAATGAATATATTAAGGACATGAATAATATAAAAAAAATATTAACGGTCTACACTTTGAAGACTCAACATATAAACAACGAATATGAGAAAATACCTTAAATCAAGCGAATACTTTTATGAAAAAATATTACAAGATTTTTATTAATATAGTAATTTTATTTAGCAATAATAATAAGATAACAATTTAATTAAAATCAGCTTAATAGAATGAGTCTGTTTTTAAGTTTCTCTAAATCTCTAAATTTACCCTGAATGAAAACGTAAAATAATTAATTTAAAGTTATTACAACTGCAAATGATACCATATATGCTCTTATATCCTTCAATACCAGAAAAAACTTCTACGTGACTTAAGTTCATTACATCCTCACGTATTAGATTTGGCGAATCCATCCGTGTAACAAACTCGAAAAAAAACATTGTGAGTGCACCCAATTTATTATTACATACATAGAATCAATGTTTTTCGATTCACGAACTCAATATTAGGATCACGATTCCTCTTGAGTATCCCTGATAGCACCTAACAGCTTTCGTTATTGATTGCACTGAGAACCTTCAAAAACTTTTTGACATCGAGGTCGGTACAGAAAAAACTAAGTTAATTAATCCAAACGTACTGGGCGTCCTATTATCTGTTGTACAAATCATGACGTAATTTCACTCGTGAGATGATCAGCATCAGGAGCAGATCATTTGGTATATAAAGATGAAATAGTCTCTTAGAATCACAGTTTAATGAAAGCTTTATTTGGAGCTACAACGACTTGCAAACAACAGCAATCATGAAATTGGTAACACTAAATTAATTACTTATTATTTAACTTAAACTAATTCCTAATTATTTATAATAATTTTAAAATAATTGAATAAAATTTTAAATATATGTTAATAATTTCAGTTTGTATTCGCTGCTCTGGTTGTTGCTGCGTCTGCTGGCCGTCTCGAACATTTGGAGCGTTCTTATCTTCCGCCTGATAGCAATGGCCACGGTGAAAATAGTTTTGGACCAGGGAACAATCGGTTCGCCATAAACAACCATAGCTCCAATGGACTCTCAAGAAACAGTGCTTCTAATGGATTTAGGTCCAATGGAATCAACTCATTTGATCGCAGTACATCTCATGCATCAAATCGTTTTGGCGCCGCCCCAGTCTCTGGCTTAAACGGCATGAGTAGAAATGCATTTGAAAGTGCTACCTTCAACCAGTACCTCCCACCAGACCATGGACCCTCTCATTCTTCTGATAACGGTATTTCCCAGTTTACATCTCGTAGTTTACCTTCTCTGGGATCTGCGAGTTTTGGATCTCCTTCTAGGTCCATACCTCAACCTCAATTTGGTGCAGCCAGTCGTCAATACTTAGCTCCCAAGTATACATCCCAACAGAACCCTCAACAGCGATTTGATGAGAAATCTGGATACATTTATTAATTGTATATTGATGTCTTAAACAATCAAAACATATCACTTTTATTATTTTACTGTGTACAAAAAATTTGTTATATAATATTTTAGCAAAATATATATATTTTGGAATATCTTTTCATTTATTTTCACTTTTTTCTATCCTCTCCATCACCCTTTATATCAATAATTATGTCAATAATATTTATTTATTCATTATATAAATTTATTTAAAAATTATTTAAATAACATTTATTAATAAGAACTATGAATATAAAGCTTATTAATTATTAAGTATATTTAGCACAGAAACACATATTAAGGATTCCTTAGCTTCATTTTGAAGCATAATAATAAAAAAATGTTTAAAATTCACAAAGAAGCTTGATTCCAGGCAAGCGGCCGGTCGTAAAAACAATGAGCCAAAACTATTCACAACATGTAAGACAGACCCTGACTAAAGCTCGGAAATTGCCAGGAAGAAGAAGAATAAAGAATGTTTGTAACAATTTGAAAAATAATATTTCTCAGTATTTATTTCATTTCATTTAATTCATTTGTAATAACTCAAAATATGATGCTACACTAACAATGAGATTTTTAATTAACTTTGATCCACATTACGAAACTTAAAGTCGATTAATCTTACACGTACCCTTCACGATCCATTTGACCCTGACTCTTGACCTTGGTTGTTGCTCTTAATTCAACCAAAAATACAATACCATACGACCTAAAATACATATGAAAAATGAACTCACATTAGCAAGAACTTCATTTAATACTAATCTATATTATGGTATTTTATTTATTTATGTCTGATTTATACCACTAAATGGAATATATTTAAGAAAACGAATTGATTTTTTATTAAAATATAAAAGCAACAGTATTACGTCATGTTATCAAAAATTGTTTCCAATTATATTATACTCAATAATACACATAAAATTTAAATAATTACAAAATTGTTGTCACTGCTATTTAATTTGAGTAATCAAAGACCAAAAATGTCTGTCAAAAGGAGACAACGACTTTTTTTCTTCCCTTATTTTTGTCATTTCAATAATTTCTTTAAAATTTAAACAACGTGGAATAAAATAAAAATTAAAACAAAGCAATAATGACCTTTGTTACGTACGTAGTACATATTAAGAAATAAATGAACATCGCCGAAGCGACATCGTTGTATGGTCAAATATCATATGACGAGTGACGCCGCTGACGATGTAATTATAAATGTTATAATAATAAATGTTATAATAATATAAACATGAGTATGTTTCGTAGTTTTCCTGGAACCTCCGGTTGCAGCCTATATAATTCCTTTTTAACCATTTTATTTTTATCTTTCTATTCTACCTATGTAACACAACGAAGCTTTGTCTCTCACAAATCATAAGGCGCTTTTATGAGACCTAAATCATAAATGTTATAATAATATTTACAATACCATAGCAATAATATAATATATATGTAAACTTGTATGTATGTATAAATGTATATATTGAAATTTAAAACATTTTTTAAAACTTTATAACCATTAAAATCAATAAACCTTTACAACAAATGGTCTTTAACGAAGAACCCTATCTAACATGGCAAAAATTATTCTTAAAAGACAGTAAAACAATTAACGCACGACAGACGCGCATTGTTCTTTTTATGTATATAAATAAAAACTAAACAGTGCACATCTGGGCAGATAACACTACTCCAATAGTCTTAAGAGTAACAAATAATTTATATAACAATAATAATATATAACATTTCATATACCTCAGCTTAAAAAAAATTATCGATGTATAGAGCTCTGTAAGAATTTTCACCTGCGATTATAGTGTTTAACTTCCATAACTAAAGTCACTAGTATACTGAATATTCGTCCTAGTTGAATTAACTGACTTAAAACTATTTATCCAGCTACATGAAGATTACCTCAACCACGTCTACTTATATACGAGTATAATATTTAATTACTCAAACCAATTGAACTTGACAATTCACTTTTTAAATATCGGTTTTACAATCATAATCTTTCAATATATGTACATAATTTCGAAAAAAGTGTTTATAATAATATTAAACATATTGTTTCAAGTAATATTGATATTTATATACTTGACAGCACATATTTTTATGAAACTAATATTTTGCCGATACACTACGCGACTTTATTTTTGATAACAACTACATACACCGAACATTGCGGTTAGTTTACAGCAACCGTGATCACGGACATACGAGCTGTCAAAGGCTATGTTCTACAAACCGTAAGTAGGAATAATTTTGATGATCAATTTTCTCTAGTAATATACTGTTATATTGATGTCCAAATCTAACAAATGACCTCCCAAATTATACGTTTCTTAATTACGTTATTACTGCCTTTTTTGAAAAAGTGTGGCCATTATTATCTAATTATAACATTTTTTCTCTCACATTTCGAAGCTTCTACCTTTTAACCTTATATTTTTTACCCAACCAAAATCTTTAAAATCTAAAGAGACCAATATATTATGTAAAACTTTAGAAAAAGTTCCCGTAAATCGGATGGCTATTTTTAACAACGCTTTACTATTTTGTAACAACGATATAATTGGTTATAAATTTTCAAATTTTGATGAAAATAATAATTTACATGCCACTACAGTATGTTAATTGTCCTATTTAAATAAGAACCTAAAAAATATAGGAAACAAAGCAAACCAATTATATTACATACTGCTGAATTTAAAATTCATTTTTAACCTATCGCTCCATTCTTAAATTTTATTGATAGAAAAAGAAGCATCCTATTAAGATTTATTCATTACTAAGTAAACTAGAAGCTATTGCTATGAGATTTAAAAATATTTTTATTTACTTTCTTTAAATCCTCCCAATTTATTATCTTCTTTTTTTCCAATCTTCTCCCGATTTGTTCTCGTCATATTTTAATCTAATATAACATCATTGCATTCCAAATATCTACCTTACATTTTTAATATTAATATAAGCTAACACTGTAATTATAAATTATGATACCAAACCTAAAGCAAAAAAGTAGAAAAGTAAAAAAAAATACATTTCTTGTTAGTTTACAACAATGTCAGAGTTAATTTTTTCACTTCATTAATAATAATTATTTACAAGGTGTTGTATACATTTTTGTACGACACAATTTTATACTTTATAATTACTACTATACATATATTCCCATTTCTCGGGCACTACCTATTACAAAAAGAACAGTTCATGTAAAGATGACATAATATCCATAATAAGGGAAAAAATTAACCAAAAAACAGTTTTCATAAAAATGTTTTATTCATAGAATAAATAATCTATTTCCATTCACTGGATATAACTACAAATTATCACATTATCTTGTATGGTTGATCACTTATCATTATAACCCCATTTACATGAATGTTTATTAATATTAATTACAAAAAGCCATTTACAATACAGATACATTGAATTACAAACGATTTTATGATTTAATTTAGCCTCTTGTTATACTTTTGAGTATTCAATCTAGATTTATTTTTATGTGAATAGGGTGGTGTATTTTGGGATTTAGAATTTGTATGGTTTACGGAAACCAGCGGAGGCTTGAGCGCGGGCGTATGGAGTCTGAACAAACGCTGGGGCGGCTGCTGAACCAGCACCGGCGTATTTGCCAGGGTTGTATTGACCTGAAAATATTACAGAAAATCCTTTTGAAACATAAAATTAAGAGCTGTTAAATCAGACATTCGATATCAGCTGCAAATAAACAGTGACATGCAATCATCATATCTTTACATAAAAAGCAATAAGATTCCACAAACTGCGCTGCAATAGTTTATGTATTCCCACACACTGCAAATTATAAGACGTTTTGTAACACAGGAAAGGTCATGAGTTACGCCTAGAGCTTTAGAAATTTCTGCGGCAGATCTTGTAATGAATTTAATGGTAATACAGTGTTTGCTTTATGAAATTACTTTGTTGTTTGATTTACGTTTAATCATTAAAAGTCATTCAAAGTGAATTTATTCTTTCCAATAATAAGCTACCTGATACATACTCGTATGCAACTCGATGTTACTCACTTTTTAACTATGACAACTCTATTAAAATTTTAAACATTTTAGCAGATAAGACTGTATAATTTTAGTTAAATTATTTCTTTCTACATATCAGTATTATCTTTTTCGATGTACTTAAAATCAAAAAGATAAATGAGATCAATTTTTTATATGAGTATCACTTCAAGGATTCGATTACAAACCATCATCAATAATTCCGGCAGCTTCATCACGTGCGTTTTGCTCCAAAGCCTTCAGGATGGCCTCTGGGGTGGGGGGAGGTACTGGGAGGTGGGCACCCTGGGGCTGGAAGCCATTGGCACCAGCAGCGTAGCTGATGGAGTACACCTGACCATCATCACCGGTGTATTGGAAACCACCCTGAGCTTCAATACCGTCGACCTGGAATATACAGTTAGTAATATAAAGAAAAAGTACGCTATTTTTAAGTCTTCAAAAAAGAAGGGGTTTGCTCGCGAATGTATTCGTCCTTTATGAACCGATTTTGATGATTGTTTTTTTATTTATTCATTTCTATAAATAAAATTAGTATCTGAAAGCAGTATATAAAAATGAATCCTTTCATAGCCTTACAAAAATATTAACTTGCACTCAGATATATTTCAATTTAACTATCCTATAAAGAAAACTAGGTTTATTTTTCTATCATTGATAAATTATATCTCTATTAATAGGATTAACAAACACAAAGTAAACTGTGAACAAATAGAAATTTCGATACACATATAAAACATTGTTTTCACACACATTATAAATGTAAAAACTTTGATATGGCAATCGACCTTTGTATGGCGGCCGATGCCCTTTCAACCGTTTGTATCTAATGCGGCTTGTAAATGGGATCGGCTCGTTTAGAGACGTTGAGGTCAGAGAATTGGCCAATATGTAACCAGATTTATGGTGACAATAAAATTTATGTTACCAAACGACGATATATTAAAATACTTTGATTTTACAACAAAATAATGAAAATACGTATGTTTAGAAACAATAAAGTTAATGAGTGTAATGTAATTGGAAATTTAACGAGTTTATCTCAACTTCTTGATGTGCTAAAATCTATCTATATATTGACAAATTCTGTTCTTGCTTCTTATTTATATTATCGAAGGCATATTACTGTCTATATTAAAAATATCTATCAACAATATAAAAATATTTTTGCGCTTATCATTAACAAGCCTTTTTACCTCTTGTCCTTGTTCCTGGGCCTTGATGCCGTTTTCAGTTTCATAGTTGTATCTGTAGGAGTCTTCCTTAACTTCAGACTCCAGAGCGATGATACGAGCGTTCTTCTCGTATTGAGCCTGGGGACGGTTTTGTTCCTGGTAGGGAGAGTAGGCAGCGGCGGCAATGCCGAAGACAGCGGTGGCGATGATGAACTAAAACATAAAACATGAAACATTATAAGGAGTCCTTTAAAGTATTTGTAATCATTTGTTAAATAAAATTAAATGGAATGTAATTCCATATATGGTTGTGAAGTGATCTTCCCACGATTAATCATCCTTCGTGTAAACGCAGCGCGATCATTGTCTTGACATTACCATCGCTTTTGACCCTGAATAAAACTCTTTTCATAAAAAAACATTTCAAACCACTACACAATTTTTATATTCAAACAATACGTCCTTTTTCAATGCTTCATTGTTATAAATAGGAATTTAATAACGAAACTTTAATATATTACAAGTAGGACAAATGAAAATTATTTATTGCGACCAATATTAAACATTTTTATAGTCATTCTGGAACAAATAGTCATTTGCTCACAGAGATGCATGATCTAATCAGCGTTATATATAAATAATTAGGAGCTTATGCAATGAACCACAAACGACCTGTCAAATTTTAAATTATGACTTAAATCAAGATAACATTTGCGTAAGATAGCTCGGATATATTTACATAATTTTGATACGCACATGTTTAAGTTACATTGGACTTAAGAATTTCTAAAATACATTAAATAAAATCCATACTAAAAATACAAGAAATGAACCTCTATACAGATCTAAAAAAATAAATGATGAACGTACGTCCTTGCTTTGTTACTAACTTTACTGCAAAATAATGAAAATTTCGACCGAATTCTCAAGTTAATACCCAATAGAGCAATTAACACACGAACATTTAAATAAAAATAACAATAAATCAAGTCCAATGTTAAAACATATATACATTTCAAACAATTTATTTTATTTGCCATTTATTGTTGTTTTACTATTCTATGCAATAATTATTTAATTTTAAATAATGGACGTGCCTAAACATAAATAAGGAATTATGATATGTCACTCCAACGAGCTTTTAAATGGAAAACTAAACAATGGACAATTCCCAGTTCAGTATTAATGTTTGTTGGTCAGCGTTAAAATAAACAAAAAATTATATATTTATTACTAAATTGTAATAATATAATTTTGGTGGTTATACAAAATTAATATTCATTCTAATGATAAGTATTAAGTTATAAAAATTACTTCTAGTATTACGTAGAATATACCATCTTCATCTTGAAGTAATGTTAGATAATGAATACTAAGTCTAAGTATACAATTAATAATAATTACAAATATACACTATGATTTTATTACAATCGATATTTAAAAATAGAAAAAATAAAATAAATATAGCGATTCGAAAAAAAAATACGATAGTGTTGTAATATATCGATTCGCAACTCCAAATAAAAATGTTGATGATAGTGATGTAATCTATCGATATATCGATAATATACTTACCAGCTGCATGTTTGCAATGTATCAGGTCGAAGGTGAGTACACAAATGATGTCTCACACACTCCTGTCTGGCTTATATACGCGTGATGGTTACAAAATTCGTTCAACATCATAATGAAACTTTTCCCAATAATCTGAACTTTAGAGACTTTTTACGTAAGGTTTTTTGATCAGGTTTTGATATATTTAGCATTAGACAGGATAATTATTGGCTATTATATGTATTAATGCTTGCCTGGATAGGTTCTTACAAAGCTCGCTTTTGGGGGGTTTTGATGGTAGATAAATATATTTTTTATTCAAAATGGGTCTTGAATAAATATTTGACCCAAACATTCATAATGTCGCAATGCACCTTAAATAATAATTATTTTTATTATGATTTCTTACTTATTGGATTAAAATTAATAATTTTATTTGGAATAGCAAGAAAATTACGTAAATTTAAAATCTTTCTCAGGATTGCTCTAACAGGTCCTATAAAGAAAGAGCGTCAGATAGTCAGCGTACTAAATTCAGTTTAATATAATATTTGTGGCTATAGTAGAGCTTTTATGAGGATTCCATGTCCTAAAAAAAGCACATATTTTGTGTGAGACAATATATTATTTTTGTGGTTATGGTAAAGGTTATTAAATGGTAAACATGATTCTATAAACATTTGGTTTTTTTCCTATATTTTAGCGACTAACAATATCAGTGGCGTTGTATTTTAATAGTAACATATCTCCTTACATTCTGCTCACTAATTATATTATCCGCACTTGTCAAATCAATAATATCAATTTCCATGTCATTCTAAACGCCAACTATATTTGACCGCAGTGGGTCGACTTGTGAAACGACGCCTTGGGAACTTGATGAAATACTAAATTAAATTTGATTACTAACTTTTATGTCAACGTTTACAACTTGGGATAATCGATAATTATGATTGATTTAACTTGCCCATATTTGTCACATTACATTAAAAAAATATATACACATATAACATAGTTTCTTAAATGGCAGACCCTGGCTAAAGCTGGGAAATTGCCAGGAAGAACAACATAAAACAGTTTCTTGAAATGTTTTTTTATCATAATTTTGAAGAGCATTTTACACGTTGATTCAATTTTATACTCTATGATATTAGGACACTTTGAGACATTTTAATACATTCTTTTGATTAATTATAGTCAAAATTGAAAATAAATCATCATTTGCATAAATTTCACCTACATTATGTATATGAAAGTGATCTCATTTGTTAGTTTTGTTAATTAAATTCGAAATCTTTATATCTTTAATGACAAAAAAACAGGATGCCTTAAATTAGTCTTGCCAATTTTATAATTTAATTATTGAAAATACTTTCAGTGTAAATCTTAAATTTTAGTGGGAAACCGCGCTTTTGAATTAAACAGTGTTGAAAAAAAAAAATATTAAATAATAAAGCATACGATTAAAATATATTAACAATTTATTGTTTCCAAAGAGACACTAATGTAAATAAATATTTGATCAAGAAAATTACTTAAAAAGATTTGCTTTTTTATTAGATATGTAGTCTATCTTGAACGATCAACAAAAATACAGTACTATTATAGTTAATGTCTTATAAATTAACTTTATTATCAATTAGTCTGCACAAAAAAAGTTATTAAATTATGCATTCAATAAAGTAGATAACAATTAAGTAGTTATGTTAAGAATGAATATTTTATAATTACAGTAGTCACTGAAATATATATCGTTATTAAATAAATTCCTTATTATTAAAAAAGTTAGCAGGCCACAAGATCCTCTATTTTTTTACTGTGCTTAGCTGAGAACTTAAACATAGTATATAATAAAAGTCATTTAAAATATACTTTACCTAAAATTCTAAACCTAAAGTAATACATTTATTGAATAAAAATATAATAGATTTAAATCAAAATACATAGTTCTTAAATAAACCAATCAGTGTTAACAAAGGACATATTTTATTTTCAAAACCAAGCATAATTTTGAATTGTAGCAATAAACATTTGGCTTTGAAATTATAGAAACAAAATAACAACATCCAACCTTCACATAACAAAGAGCGATCACTAGAGAGTACAAGCTGTTATTTTTATTGAACATTTTAAAATTTATTGTCTCTTAAAAACTACCAATACGACCTATTTACAGGAAGTTTATAACGCTTGCAACACTTGAAGATCGTTTGTCATAAAACGAAAGGTTGATTTATTAGTCATACTAATTATTCTTCTTCTTCCTGGCAATTTTCCAGCTTTAGCCAGGGTCTGCCTTACATGCTTGTAAGTTGTTTTGGCTAATTGTTTTTACGACCGTTCGCCTGCCTGACATCAACCCTGTTTGGGAATAGTCATACTAATTCTTATTAAAAATAAAAGAAATATGTCATAAAATTAATAATTGATTCAATAAAATTCCAAAAAAATACTGTTTGTAACCATTACAGTTTAAAAATAGGAAACATTTTAACTTTCAGTTTGAAATATTTGAGTTAAATATCTAAAAAACCTAATTTAGTTTAAATTAAAATGTATGAAGTTAAAAAATATATATATTAAAACACCTTGACTCGTCGACAATTCGTTCCGACATCATCAACATTTACTGCATTCCTTCATATATCATTACATTTAAATTTATAATGTTATATATAATAACTATAATATTAAATACACACTAGATTATCAATAGACCATTAAGTATTGAAATTAAGACACATACACTACCGCGGAAACTAATTATTTAGGAAAGAAATATGATAACATGACTGAAACTATTTTAAGACATATTTTAATCAGTATGCTTTATATATCTACAAGAATATATATATATATGTATATAATCTTTCATATACTTATTATATAAATAAACCCAATGTTTAACAAGTTAATCAACCTCATACTTATATTTACGATCAATTAAATTTACTATACACTTCAGTTATTTAAGTAAAATTTACGATTAAGATGCCACAGTATGTAGGCACCTTGACTAATGCACTAATATCATACATAAATAATGTTAACGAACCAATATACGTTATTTTACTGGCATTAGGATATTTTCATATCATATATTTACTAATCATTACTACATACGAGTATATTTTAAATATATGTACTCCTAAAGATAGTCAAAATAAATGTATTTTAAACATATGTAATGAACACACATTTTCAAACAATATAATGAATTATTATTGAAATTTCTTCTTCTTCTTCTACCTGGCAATTTTCCCAGCTTTAACCAGGGTCTACCGGACATGGTGAGAATAGTTTTGGCTAATTGTTTTTTACGACCGGCCGCCTGCCTGACATCAACCTTCTTTGGGAATTAATTATTATTGATATTTATACTCGATAAATACAATTTCTAATGAAATAGGAAATAATACAATCAGATTGTTATAGGAAATATAACAATCTGATGGCATATTAGAAATCTAATTTTATTCAACACGGATGCGCACTCGCATTGCTGACCATCCGCCCTTGACAGGAGCCCTTTAACGCTTAAATATAAATCAATATTAATAGTTAACATAACATTTAATTCAATTAAATTCATATAACATGTTAATAATTATGACACAATTTATTATTGTATTATTAATGTCAAATAATGAACTCATTAGTGAGATTGGAAAGGAATTGATTGCTTATAATCAATTAAATATAACCTCAGTTTTAGTATACTCAAATATTCTATATAGGTATATTATTTATATATTAATTTTAATTAACATGTATTGAAAGTAATGAAAATAAAATTTATTTTATTTCTAGCTACATCTTACATACTCTTATTTATATAAAGATTCTTCAATATTTTATTTGAATTTAATTAAACATAGCCCATAAAGTGTATCTTCATTCTAATAATGATTTGTATTTAAAATGCCATTTACTTTTTCTACCTCATTCCTTATTTCTGTACAAAACTCAACCTTTTAATGTATAATTAGTCGACAGTTTTAGTTAAATTACCTTGATTTAATTGTAAAAATAGTTTATCGTTAAAGGAAAACTCTTCCTTTTCTGTTATATATATTTTTTTTATATATAAAAGTTCAAAATACCACATAACAAAGATGTATGAACAAGTTTGTCTTAACAAAGATAATTATTTTACTCTGTGGCCTTTATCCGCAGATTCTTCACGAGCTGCGGTAACTATGACCATTATATTTGACCTTTTTATATCATTCAGGGCTAAAAATACGTTTTAGACAATTTAATGTTTCATATCTTACGTAATACATTTTACGCGGACGTTAAAAAAAACTAATTTTCCAATTTAAGCGACTTGAAATAGAAGTAAGCTTTGATTTGTTATAATTTAGATCTATATTACACTGATTATAATTTCAGCAAAGTGATACAGTTAATTGTTACTATTATTATGTTAAAACTAATATTTCTGGGTACAACTTAAATTTGCCTACTCAGGCAAAAGTTAGAAATTAATAAAATTCTATATGTTTTTACTTCTGAGGCGACAAGTATACAGCTACTGAGTTCACAGGTTTTTCTATAAGGTACTAATGCTGCATAATTAGTTGAGACGTTATTTTTATAAATATTATATCCGTCGGAGTACCTTGTCATATTTGATTTTTAAGAAGTGTGACGTAAGCAATGCTACCATCACAATCACTGTTTTCAATAGACACCTTATCCATCTTCCCTTTTCATTTAACTATTAATACACTCACAAACACTGTCACTATTTTATTTCAGACTTTAACTCGCACTTGTAATAAGATAATCTTCCTCCTGAATGGCTCTCAGACTACTGTTTAAATTTATGTTTTACTAATACTTACAGAATAACTTATCTTCCCATATTACAAATCACAATACCAATTAAGACTTATTATTCTTTAATAGAAAATCATGCAACGATATTTAAAACAAATAATTTTGTGAAAGAAGTTATTAACGCCATGACGTTGTTTATGTCGCATTTACCCTCTAAAGTAAAATTCAGAAAAACAACATTGCAACCCTTATAAGGGTTTTAAATATTGCTGCATCAACATATCTTATTTATTCTATACTCTGAAATATCTATAATATCTTTGCTAAACAATTTTTTATCCCATTTTAAAGGGCGTCTGAGACATTAGACAAGGTTGTATAGATTTCCATCGTCATAGGAATCTTTTACCTTTAAATTAATCTTCTTCTACCGGGCTATTTCCCAGCTTTAGCTAGGGTCTGCCTTACATGTTGTGAATCTGGGAATGCATTAATCAGTGATGTCTAAATACTCTTAGAATGTACCTACATATGACTCGGAAAAATCACACTGGTACTTGCCAGGATCGAACCCGCACCCTCATGCATGAGAGGCGGTCCTTTTAACCTCTAGACCACCACCGACTCTACCTTTAAATTAAAAATAATATAAAATACAGCATTTTCAATGTTTTTTTTGTAAATGTGTGACTAATAGCAGGCTTCTATAATTGAAATCATCTAAAAGGACAAACATTCTATCTATCGATACTTCTCGTGCTATATATTATATAATAATTATTGAATTATTTGTATTCATGTTTCGTTTCTTACAAGAATTACAAGGTTTGTACTTTTCACCAAAATAGATTTTTTTGTTTGTTATTTTGCATGTTTTTAAACATTTCAATTTGTAATGAATTTACAACTTTTTTTATATTTAAGCATCCATCGCAAATCGTGACAAAAGTAAATGAGAAGTTTTTTTGTCATCGTTTTACAGATAATAGTTTAAATTATTGAAATCGTTTAGAATAAACTAAGATGCATTGTATGAAGTTTCAGAATTATAAGATTTAAGAATTGATCAGCAGAGATTCATATTTTCTCATTGTAATCTAAGAAGACATTTTGGGTTATAGAAACTTTAGATAAACCGAGAATTTAGAGATATTTCAATTCCAATCTAATAATATTAATATTTTTTTCTATTAATATCATAAATATGAAGTTTCACTGCAAAGACTTGTTTTAAGTACATTACTTTGAAACTCTATTTAGCACCAACAAAAATAAAAACTCCATCAAATTATAATTATGTATATGGTGGATGAGTGGCAACCATCGATTTAGAAAATTTTAATATTGACAAATTATAACCTAACTCGAGCGACACAAGTTTTCACAAGGTACAAATTAAACTGTCGATCAGCAATACGAATGACTCGCCGGCGGGCAAAGATAGTGATAATTAATACTAATAACTTATTGTAAAAACTAATGTAACCAGTTGTAACTATTCTAAGCTTTTATATAACCATAATGATTGTTCTCATTTGACTTTCTATTATAGATAATAGCAGGATTAGTCTTTTTCTTTTTTTATTACCTCAGTAGGCCTACAAAAATATCTTACAATAGTAAGGGTTTAAAAGTCACGAATCACTCGCCCTTATTTTAACGTGAATTAAATTTCAGTCAAAGTTAATAAGTATCGTAATGAAGGAGACCTTAATTTGGAAAATAGATCATTATAGGCATGAGTTTTATAAGAACTATATAGTGTTAAATAAGTTGAAGTAATTATGACTATAAGGCTATTAGTCACATTAATTATTATTTATATACTGACTGGATAATGCTTGACTATAACTCTAGAAAAGAAACCATAAGTAATGAAGGCATTCTCACAGCAATAGCCATTTGACTATTTTCCTCCTATTTACACTGGTGCTGCCAAAGTGTTCCATCCGTTTTTGTCTGAATAAGGAAGTTAAAAGTGTATCATTTAGTCTGGATTTGAGGAAGGTCTACAACAAAAGTATAAAGCTCGATGGTAAAAAGACATACCGGAACAAAAGCCTGTAATTCTAACGACCGCTTTCCAAAGTTTATAGTGTAATTATGATTAAGGAACCAAATTCAAAAGTTGTGAAAAATAATTAACACTGTAAAAGGAAGGAAGACGCAAATCAAAGCTATGTATAGAAAAGAAATGCATTAATTTCAGTTTCCTTTCATAAGGAGACATGACAATATACATTAATAGAAATGCCATTGCATGTAACCTTATTGATATGAATTAAATAAAATTTTGGAAATGTATCGGATGTATAAGAAATGCGAGGCATAAACCGTGAGTATATATAATGTGAAAATCATAATTATGCTTTTGACATTTAAGTACATGTTGAAATTATTAATAATTTATGAACATATTACATATACATAATATATAGTCAGGATGTTCCAAAAAAGATAATGCCGTACAAACTATCGTCACTAATTCTTATTTTTCTAGTTCACGAGTTAAACGTTAAGTCTTGATTTAATTCAGATTATATAGAAGAGCAAATTATATTTAAATAATCATTATTCTTGTAAATAAAATATGATGTGAAATGGAGCATGTACAATAAAAAGTTCATGGACACGAACAGGTTCCTCCATCCTCCGACATACCGCGTTAAAACAATTGGATCGAATGTCAACTTTTTCACGATTTTAAGTTCAAGTATTAGTTGACATCATTTAAATAGTAAAAACATAATTATACGAATATGATAGACATATTTTCCATTATATTGTCTCATTGTAAGTCTACTCTCAAATATCATTTATGTTTTTTTAGGTTTACAAATAGTAACAACAAACTTACGTGCAACTGCGCAATGATTTATAATGAAAATAAAAATAAACTTCTACCATTTTTCCATAATACTTTATCTTGAAATTTTTAGTATTTTTTTTTTTGTAAATAAATGTAATAGCATCCACAGTTTGGAAAGTAATATGAATGTAACATTTGCAACTTTGCCCTTAAAGTTACAGAGGTTAGATTAGTTATTACGAGATGTGACCTTTATATTTGATATAATGCTAATTTCATGTAACATTAATTGAAATTCATTCCGTACATTTTAATGCATTTCTTAATACATTAAAAGTTTTTAATAAATTAATAGAACATCCGCAATTACATTTTATATAATGAATTTGTTACTAAATCATATATGTAATATCTTTATTTCATTTAGGATCTTTACAACAAAATAATTTTCAAGTTCGTGCACTTTCTTAGAACTTTAAAATAAGGAGGTGTTAATCGTGAAAGTTCAACATTACTTGAAACAAATATTCAGGTCAAAGTCACATATTCATGAATAACCATACCTATGAGTAATCCTGTATCATCGAGACTCCACCTCTAAAAGTCTCGACATCAGAATACGGATAAGTCCTATTAAATAAATAAATATATATATTTAACCATTCAATTATCTAAATTAAAACATTAAAACACACATTACATACTTTTTAAATGCCATATTCTTTCTATATATTTACTTCCTAGTCTATTTGATCAGTTGAGCCAATCAAATCGTGCTAAACAAAAGATTTTAATTTGCAAACGAAATGTTACTTTATTCGCTTGAAACGTATTACATAAAAGATGAGTTTATATTTTAATAGATTTAATTTCATTGTTGATTCTGTGAAGGAAGATGATATTTTTTTTTCACAATCATTGGGTCTATAAAAAATGAATTATGTATATAAAAAGTAGCATTTGGCATACAAAATTGATTTAAATTATTTTACAACTCATATTTCCTCTGAAATTGTATGACAATAGGATGATAGTTAGTTCTAAAGTTCAGTCTCAGAAAGTAACAAAAAAATTATCTTACTTTCACATTCGTAATATTCAACTAAAAGCAACCTTTCGAATAAATGTTTGTTATAAATGCAACTTTATATAATTTTCTTGTAAATAAACGGACATATAAACAATATGTAAATTGAGTTTATCGTTTCAAGCTAAAATACCCTTATATGTCAACCGGTCAAAGTGGAAAGTACACTGCGGTCTCGCCTTTCCTGAAATGTCAGCAAACTTAGGCCTAGTCCGAAAAAAGATGTCAGATTGTGAATAATTAAGGAATATATAAAAAGAGTATTTAGGAACTGAAAAACATATTTAATATAATTTATAAAAACCAATAACGAAGTAACAATAACAAGAGAGTGTGGTTATGACACGCTTTGGTTTCAATGATGGTAACCAGCCCCAACAGATGCAGCTTCATAGGCCTCTTGCTGGTAGCCTTCATAGCTTTGGGCCTGGTATTGCTGCTGGTGTTGTTGTTGCACCTGTTGCTGGTGTTGTTGTTGCACCTGTTGCTGGTGTTGCTGCTGCAGCAGTTGCACCTGTTGCTGTTGCACGTGTTGCTGCTGCAACTGTTGCTGATGTTGCTGATGCAGCTGTTGCTGTTGTTGCTGCTGGTGTTGTTGTTGCAGCTGTTGCTGTTGTTGCTGATGTTGCTGTTGCTGTTGATCGTGATAGTGACCTGAAGATGAAAGAAATAGTACATTAACGAAACAATACTTTTGTGCTTTATATTAATATCTGTTTTTAAATTTTAATGTGGATATTTAAATATGTTTAAATTGGTGATATTTGTACAGTACATATCATTTCTTATTATTAAAAAAAATTTGGTGTGTAATATCTTCAATATCAATTTATTGAAGTAAATATAATATTTATTCACTTTACCTGAACTTTTTGAATATTTTATGGTTATTGTTTTTGATATGTTTATCTTAAGAACCTGTTATGAAATAAATCGATTGTCTAACAGGCAACTCAATTCTAATTACATTTCAATGCCCTCTGAGCTTCTGAGGTATGTCTCCATTACATAAGTGTATGAAACTATTATAAACCAGTTAAATTACGCAATAAATGAATACAGGTCGTTAATTATAGTTAGCGGATACAGAATATAGATTAATTATTAACAGTTGAACCAAATTATAGTGTTCAGTGTCACTAATACATTGATGTGGTAGAAAAATGTTATATTAAATATTGCAAAATAACTCACGATAGGCCTATTTAATCATCATTGGTTTAATAGTACATATATTACGTCCTTTCATGAAATACTCATAATTATTATTCAGATAAAACATGAACTCAGTCAGTGATGACCTAGTGGTTAAAAGGCCCACCTCTTATGCACGAGGGCACGGGTTCGATCCTGACCCGGGCAAGTACCAATGTGATTTTTCCGAATCATATGTACTTGTTAAGATTATTTAGACCACTGATTAATGCTGATTCCCAAAAGAGGGTTGATGTCAGGCAGGCAGCCGGTCATAAAACAATAAGCCAAAACTATTCACAACTTGTAAGGCAGACCCTGGCTTAAGCTGAAAAATTGCCAGGTAGAAGAAGAAGATATAACATGAACTTGCCATCATCGTAGATGCCACTGGCTTCGTCTTTAGCGTTCTGCTCCAAGGACTTCAAGATGGCCTCGGGAATGGGGGGAGATGTTGGGAGATGAGCTCCCTGGGCATGGAATCCATTCTCATCGGCGGTGTACGTCACAGTGTAGGTGTGGCCATCATCACCGGTGTAGGAAAAAGCTCCTTCGGCTTGAGTGCTTTTGCCGGCGTGACCTGCTTCTTGAGCTTTGATCCCTGCAATTATAAGAAACAAATTAAATAAGATATCTATAACAATGGCATTAATACAAGATTTTCCATATTGGCAATGAATATACGTACCATTTTCAGTTTCATAAGCGTAGTGGTAGTTTTGACCGTCGTTTTCGGAATGGTAAGACAGGATTTTGGCTGACTTCTCAGCTGATGGCCGCTCCTGATAGGCTATATTATGTCCAGCAAAAGCCTGCGATTGGCCGCTGTAAGCAGCCGGCTGGTACTCCACAGCTGATTGGTAAATATCAGCAGCCTTAGCGTAGTGCTCGGCCTGTGGTTGGCTGAAAATTTGGCCAGCTGATGCTGCAGCCAGGATTGAAGTGAAGGATGCTAGCTGAAATTAAATAAAAAAAAAATTATATAATTAAATTTTATAAATATTCTATAACTATTAAACTGGACAGAGACTTAGATTAAATCACAGATATTATTATATACTTCTTCTTCTTCTACTAAGTATGATAATTAATAATATTTTTTAAATTAATTTATTATTAAATAATTTTATTATTTTAATTGGCTAATACATACCAATTTCATTGTTAGTTTGTTTGTCTAAATGTATGACTCGAATGGATATCATTAAATTTCTCCGCCCGTTTTTATACTTCAAAGTTTCTATATACGCACGTTCTTATTAACTCACACTTCGTTGATATTAGCAATACAACAACGAACACTGTGAACTTGTCATAATACGGTTTTGAATAAAATTTCATGCTTACTTCTTAGAATGCATTAGTATTTTATATGATATAAATTATCTTCACAAATATTGAAAAACAAACATAGTTTTAAGAACTATTAGTTTTTAGCCTAAAATGAAAGTGCTTGTCAATTTATGTTAAAATTCAAAATACATATATTTTTTATAATATTATATTGGTGTTATTTATAATTTTATAAGTTCTTTTATATTAATAAAATTTTGTTTAGCTTTTACATAAACTGATGCATTTTGTGTATAAGAACAAAAAATGTACTTTGTTAAAATATATTTTAAGTGTACTACGTTCATAGTTGACGCGGTCTAACCGAGATGCGAATGTTAGGTAACTTGTATAACGAGATGTACCCGACCAATGAACAAGTGGAACAGAATTTGGGCATACTCTATAAACTACTAGAGCCGGCAAATATTAAATGTAAATGAAAATATAATATTTTATTGAATTGTTTAAATTTAACAGAAATTTTTGTATAATAATAAAGTACGTATATGAATATTTTACTTTTTTAACCTTGAATAAAGCTTTGGTAGCTAAATTTTAACATAAATTTCCAGTGATTTCTGACCAAAAATATAAAGAAAATTATTTACAAAATTAATTAATTGTGTATTAATAAATAATCTCCTCTATCAATTTCTAGCTCTGTGGGTTCTCACTTACACTTTCATAATACGGTCAATGTTTTAACGAGATCAAATGTATTAAAGTAACTCCGTAGTATGTAACACAATCGCTTAGAATTGTAATATGTATTTATTATAACTTAATTATGATTATTGAGAATTTTTAGTTTTGATGTATTTAAGTCATATAAAAACAAAGCTTAGCTAAATATAATTGCGTTAATATTTCTATTATTAATATTTCTTAATATTTATATTCCTAGTCGTCGTTGTAGCCTAGTCGTTAAAAACCTGCCTCTCATGCATGAGGGTGCGGGTTCGATCCTGGCAAGTACTAATGTGATTTTGTCAAGTAATATGTGTTTTCTAAGAGTCCTTAGACACCACTGACAGACGGCGAAGGAAAACATCGCGAGGAAACCTGAACTTATAATTCTAATTAGTGGTTTGAAATCACCAACTCGTCTTAAGCAAGTGTGATGATTAATGCTCAAACCTTCTCAATGTTCGAAGAAGGCTTTGCTCAGCAGTGGACTCTGAAAGGCTTATGATGATGATGATGATCATGATGATATGTTTGTACTTAGTCAAAAGCTAGAATACTAATTTATTATGACTATTGTAAGCTGATAAGCAATAATTTAGTTAGTAAGTTTATAAGTTATAAGTCAGCCGATGTTATTTGGTTCCGATTAATCAATTCCATTGAATATTACCGATAACATAAATGTTTGTATTCGACGCTTTAAATCTTTAACTCTCAACACAAATAAGGTTATTATAAAATTCATTTAAAATACTAATAAAATAACATTTTAGTTACAGAAATGTTTTCCCTACAAAACCTAAAACTACTATGTATTATCTTGCATTGTATATTTACTTATACTGTTGGAAAAATCAAGCAGAAGGTTCTTATTATCAATTATAGGTTTCAATACGATAATTTTCCTTCACCGTCCGTCAGTGTTGTCTAAATACAAACACATAAGTAATAAAAAACATAGTTAAATTTTTAACTATGTAACCGTATTTTAAAATGCAACACTCCTCTTGATGATTTTATCAATGTAATTTAAATAATTTGAAAGGCACCGAACTGTAAGAATGCAAACAATGCTTTAATTCACACAATGAGATACGACGCGGACGGATAAAAACTCGAGATAAACTGATTTCATTTTTTTATTCTATTATATTAAAATTATGATGAAGAGTTTTATATAATATCATTGTATTAGAAACAGATTAGAGAAAGAAATAAGGTTATTAAAAATCTATTTGTTTAATAATTATTTACTTAATTTAATTATGGGACAGTTTTAAAATATATATTAAAATTTCTATAGTTTTATATCCTCTATTATATTCAAATTATAATTAATAGGTCACCCTAATTTTCAAAACAAAACCCGGAACTTCCGTTTATCAGAACAGGTCTTATAACAATGGGCTAATAATACAGGCCGTCGTTATTCCATACAGCTTGTTTAAAACGTTATCTAATTATCATCTATGTAATAATTAAGACAAAGGAGTTCGCATGGTATGAATACTCTTTTCTAAAGAACTAATTTTACTAATATGATCTGTGTCAATATATTTTTTTTTAATTTGATTAGGTTGATATATTTTTTTACCAAAAATAATTATTAAAAATCGTTCGAATCTATATAAAAATTCGAAACATGGAAAGTTAAACATTCGTTTTATATACAATTTTTTAAAATATATGTACCTAGCATAATAAATGTAGGGTTGTTATAAAGTTTTTTAGGGTCGTCACCTTAAACAAAAAGATCCTTTAAAATAAAAAGGTCTCATTATCTGTCACTAACCTGACTTTTTACTCTATGGAACCCTTAAATTAATACAAATGTATGTATCTTTTTATCATAGATAACATCTGTGCGATGCGTACATCAATTCCACGTCAATACTTGATTTGATGTTGAAAATAAAAATTACAAACGATTTCTTAATATTCGGCCATATTGTGCTATCGTTTTAATTTTGAAATACCCAACCATTTTTAAAATGTTTGTACATAACTTTTAAATAGTTTTAAATTTTATGCGTCTTCTTTTTGACAATGAAATTGTGACTATAATATGAAATTAATGATTAATTTTTTAAAGTTTGTTAAGGATTCATTTATTTTGTTTTATTTGTAGATAAAATTAATTTCAGCTTATGTTACCAATATCAGAGTAAGGAGTTATTTTGAGTACTTTTTATAATACAGCTATTCTATGTGGAATATCTTGTCGCGAAGAAAGACAAACAGTAGATAGTACCTATCACAGGCGCCAAAATGAATTGAAATCAATTTCTGCATACAATGCCATCATTCGCACTGGAATCGTGGAATATTTTGCTAATGTCGAACTTTTTATTTGTTGCACAAACTATCTTGAGTAGTGTGTGGTGAAAACGCAAAGGAATTTTTCGACTGAAATAAAGGCTTCTATTTAAATTACTAGTACTAATTACTTTAAAGAAGGTTATTGTTGAATTTCTATCAGTAACTAGATTCGAAATATATAGTTATTTGATTTATATGATATAACTTTAATATTGACATAATTATGGTAGTGTCAACTGTGATTGAGTATTTATATATAGTGCGAAAGAATTCATGCTGAATTTAACTGCCAAAGTTAAATATATACTTGATCTGCTATTTTTATTTAATTAAGATTATGTACACTAATTAGAAATTTACACAAATAATGACAGTCTGTGAAGAATTTAACTGACTCGTAAATGTCATATATAATAACATTTCTACTATTGAATTTGAAATACTCAATTAGTTATGGTTGATTATCGATAGTTCAGTGATATCTACTATATAAAATAATTAATATTTATTAATATAAATCTGTAAAACATAGTGTGAGACATGCATCTTTATAATAATGTGATATTGCCATAAAATAATACATACGTAGGTGCTTTTATGGTATTTACCCATCTTACTTTTTAAGTATTTATGTCTTGAAGAACTCCATCTAAAGAAAAGCCTTTAAAGGTTGTATCTTTATGCTATCCGTAAATGAACATCGCGATAACATATCTCGTATAAATAAATTTTTGTAAGGAAATTTATATTCCTTTAAATGAAACTAATATTTTTCGGATTATTACTTCGCGTATTTTATTATTGTGAAAACTACATACTCCCTACGTTTCGTTTACTTTTCAGCAACCGTGATGACGGGCAGACGAGGTTCATATCTTTAATTAACGTCTTAAAAATTTGAAATCTTACGATTCGGAGTGTGAATTACTTGTTTTTAGAACCATTTGTCTGTCTATCATATTAAAGTCTTTCTTTGTATTAATATGAGAACAAAAGCTTAACACCCAGTCTAAATTAATTTATAATTGATTGCTTATGACGTACATTTAGTAAACTAATAAATTTATAGGAAAACTATACTTTATACTTAATGTACAAGCTTTATTCTTATAGAAATATTATAACTATCTTTGATTTTAATTTTTTGGTTGTAAATAATTGAAATAAATAAGGTTTGTATGAAAATATTTTGTTTGTATAACTAATCAATCTGGACCATACAATAGGTATCAGGTATTATGAAGAAAGAAATTAAAACAATGTACGAATGCGTTAATTACAACTATAATACAAGGAAAATAGTATAGTTGTTAATAAAACATAAAAAAATATACAAAAATTAATATATGATGATCACTTTATTTGCTTTGTATATAACTAAAGATAGATGGCACTTGGTCTAGAAGTAGTATGGTTTTCTGAAGGGAGCAACGAGTCTTGGTGGAGCGTAGGTACGTGCGGCGAATACTCCCGAGTCGTATTTACCGGCGTGGTAACTCCCTGAAACATAAAAAGGATATATTAATACGATTTTTATACATACATATTATAAACATAGCCTAGGCATTTGGCACTAATTTGGGTAAGCTTCTAATTCATTGTATATTTTAGTATAGCAATACGAATGATTTAACTTTAGGAAGAATAATAATCGATAAAGTAATATTACAGTTAAATTACGCATTAAGTTTCTTATATTATTATTTTTATATGATTTACGAGAAAAATATACAATTTTAATATTTAATTTATATTTCCAAATATTACTATCATTGAATATTGATGCAAAATTAATATTTATTCTATGTATCATAAATTATCATGTTACAAAAAACATTATTTTCTTGAAAGAGATAAAAATTGCGTTATAGTAATGATTAAAAATACTTGTAAACAAAGAAAAATTTGAATAATATTTTTCACTATACGTAATAACAAAAATGTATGACATCAATCTCATACAAAGTGAAGGCTCAAGTGACTTCTGATCTGTAATTTTAACATATGAATGGGCGTAATCAACTATTGTGGGGTTTCGGCGAAATTTGGAAACTTATAATTCAAATGTCGTAATAAGCAAAGATTCATACTGGAGCATAGAGATTACATTATTTTCTAACTTGGCCTATGACGCAAGTCCTATTTCGATTTGAGGTGCGGTTCTATTAATACATTGATACGCCTCTTTAAGCCTTATTTATTATACGATGCTATCATTACCACCTTAATTTGATTTCGAAATGATACACCATATGTTACGGATTAAAATTGTTTTATTCTTCTATGACTTACATGTTTTAATTTGAATGTAAATGATGTATTAAAATATTTATATTAAAATTTAATTGTCCGCATGAAAATCTGATGATAAATAAATACATGTTTTTATTCTAATTAACAGTATGTTTAAAATTTTAATTTAAAATGTATTATTAATAAGGCGACTACAAAACCTCTGAGAATTTAATGGATTACCGGGCGGGTGACCCAGGTGTAGGTTTAAGGCCCTTATCTAATGCACGTTAAACGCTCACGTCCACCGTCTAAGCTCCTCTCTCTACCTAACCAAATTTGAAACGAAGCTACCGGGGCTGCCTTCGATGCACGTTCCAAAAACGAACTGTTGTTAGTTCCGGACAGGTCAAAAATCTTTTAGTAGGTTATAGATAGATTTAGATTTAGACAAACCTAGAGATTTAGACGAACCTATTTTTAGTGAGTTCATTAGTAAACTCATAATAAAATTCACTCACCATCATCGAATATTCCATTGGCTTCGTCGCGAGCGTTCTCTTGAAGGGCTTTAGCGATGGCCTCAGGTACTGGGGGAGCGGTGGGGAGGTGAGCTCCTTGGGCCTGGAAGCCGTTGCTGTCAGCTGTGTACCTCACGCTGTACAGCTGGCCGTCATCTCCCGTGTAGGAGTAGCCGCCAGCTGCTTGGATTCCATTAGCTTCGCGGCCGGTTTCTTCAGCTTGGATTCCTGGAATTATTTAATGATAATGGAATTATTCTAACTTAATGAGATGTAAGACTTTCATTTAAATGAAACTAATATTTTTCGGATTATACTACGCGTTATTTATTATTGTAAAAACAACATACTTCCGACGTTTCCATTACTTTGCACACACCATGATCACCGGCACACGAGATGAGATATAATCCAAAAAGTATTAGTTTCATTTAAATTATTCCAACAAATATGCTTTTTGTAATGTTTACATATTTTATTATTTTTTATCAAATGGGAGGTCATTTTATAAGTAATATTTGAATTGACTTTGTTATTATAAGTGGAATTTATTTTTATAATTAATTTTGTTACAATTGTTTGACTACATAAATAAATTAACGTTATCGGTTAAAAATTAATAATTGATTCGATTGTTATAAAATAAATTTTTATGAATACTATTCCCATTTTTAAGATCATGGTTTAGAAAGACATATTTTGATTTTATAATAAGAGATATATGTAAACATACTAGCAATATTTTATTTATTTTTTCAATATTCAATAACAGCAAAGTGATTATTTCACAAATATTTTTTTTTGCATTGACCATTAAATCACCCGTCAAAAATTCGACATAAGTAATTCATTAAGAATTGTCAATAACATCATAAAAAATAAATAAATATTTCAACATCCTCGTGAAAAAAGCAAACTTGCTGTAAGGAACTCCTTAAAGTTTCAATCTCCATATCTATGTACTTAGAAAAACTGTATAATACTAACTATTATACACTTACCATTCTCGGTATCATAAGCGAAGTGGTATCCCTGTTCGTTGACATCCGACACTGATCTGATGATGGCAGCATTCCTCTCAAGAGCTGCTCTTGGCCGCTCGTAATAACCACGGTATTGTGGAGCAACGTACCCGGGTAGGGCACCGGCTGCGCACGCGCCGATAACTGCTGCTAAGATGATCTGGAATATATTAATTATTAATAAATTATTACATAAAAAATAATTCTATTAAATCAAAAAAATCATTACTTTTTTTATTTAAAATATTTTGTAAATTTTAATTCGGATTAGCAATTTGTGTTTTAATCTTTACTTGTAAAAAATTAAACTGATTTTTTTTTTGTATCAAATTATTATATGAACCATTTTTATTAATACAAATAATATATGTATATATATTAAATTTATTAAATAGTTTAAAACAAATTGAACTAGTTTAGAGACGTACCAGTTTCATGTTTGTGCAACTTCAATCGTTCTGCGAATGCTGCATCTCTAGCCAAAGAGGGTTTATATACAGTCAACATCTAGCCAATGTCAAGGACGAATTGTAGGATCTATGGGTATTAGGACGGTCCTACACACATACTAATAGAAGATATTTTTTTTATTACAATATACAATTTTATCATAAAGAATTATTATTATAGGTAAAAGATTTATTAGAAAGAATTTCATGATTAGATTTATTAATTTAATTTTGTCATGATTTAATTAATATGAAAAATAATTTAACTATTTAATCTGAATTTAAGGGTATATTACATTGTGTTTAGAAATATGAACTATGAAAATTAGGAATTAAATTGCATAACAGTACATAGTTGTTGAAAAAAACTATTTCTAATAAAATATATAGCTCAGAAAAATAAAAAAATAGTAATGTATGCCATAAAATAATTAAGCATTTCTAGATAAAAACTAATTATTATATGTACATTTTAATATTTATTTTATATTCATCGGCAGCATTGTGTAGTTCAAGTTTTAAACATATTCATATGAATAAAATATAATATCTCAACAAATTGGTGTACAATCAGCATAAAAGTTTACAACGTCTATCCGGCAGAATGTTTTGCACAACCAAACAATGAGGCTAATTAAGTCAGTACTTGTTTGTATCGGTGTACATTTGGACAAGTGCTTTTTGAAGTACAAATTACATATTTTTGCGTTATTCTCTTGCGGAAATTTGCAAAAGAGTCTATCTATTTTTTGATTCTGATTATAATTAATATTGTAAATAAATTATGTTATAAACATGCATTTAATTAAAATAATATATTTATAACTGAATACTATATTTTGATAATGATAGTAATGCCTAATAGAATGTAGGTATTAACTTACATTTGAAGTAGAGCAAAACGGTGATACGACACCCAAACCAAAATGAACGGTTTTGTATTAAATAACTATTATATTAAATAAATCATTTAAAAAATATCTACAGATCAAAATCAATGAGATAACAGTTTATCTAATGCAATACAAAAAGTATATCACGACTCTTCGTTAAATCACGAATGGCTTCAAGTAGCGAGTGATACCAATATTTTGACTTTTAGAATAGTTCATTTATATAAAAATATATATACGAAACTAATCTTAAGAATATAAGCTTTCAAAAATATCGATTATTTCAGGACATTCATTTCACTTTAAGACGATTATGATATACATTTCAAAAAAGAAATATACATTTGAAAGTTACTTCAAGAAAAGTGTTTAGTCAAAAATTTAATAAGATTTAAGAGTATCAAAAAGGATAATTAATTATTACAAAATAATTTCAAATCAATCAAATTTAAAAATCACTTAAGCTTTGGCCTAGTATTTATCAGCAATGGATGTGATATAAAAAAAAGTATGAGGCATTGAAAGCAAATTATCATAATGCAATTTTATCGCAATCTCATTACTAAGTTTCAAGTTATATGCTTAAGTTTGGTGTGTAAAATTACTGAAAGAGTCATCCAAATATTTTATTTCTTAATATAAAATTATCAATAGCTTTATTCTAATACTTTATGAGATAAAATTTATGAATATATGTAGGAATGTATGTACATATATAGCAAAGTGTCTGAGAAAAGATTTTAAACATAAAAATGCTTCAAATACAAGCAGTAGTGTCTTTCTGATATTAATCAATATATATATGTTTTTTTTTTGTCGTATATATCAATGTTTTGCAAGCGATTATGAGTTTGCAATAGACTAACGAAAAATATTTCTCATTACAGGCAGAATACATATGTATTATGTGCATATTATTATTTCTTGTGATGTTTGAAATAAATATAACAAAGTAAGTTATTATATGTATTATATGGTATGCCAATAAAAATTGTTTGAAAAGGTTTTTTTCGTTTATGACCCTCAATTTATAGTAATAAAGATTGTAAGCGATTTGTACGTATGATTAATTTGTATTTTTTATTGTCCTGCTTTATTGAAGATTTTTAATGTACCAGACTAGCGGGTTCTGGTTTTTGTGTTATTGATTTGAATGATGATACCTGTAGTATAATGTATTGTATAATACAATAGAATACAAACAAAATACAATAACAATAATATATTGTACATTAACAAGCTGTTACAAAATTTAGTTGAGCTTAAAAATACCTATCATTTTTGGTTTTATTTTCCTATTTTTTTAAACAAATTTATTTATCCAATTCGCATCAAACTAAATACATCTAATTTTATAGTTTTTAATAAATATTATTAATTGTACATATGTAAAAGTAGGTACACATGCATTTGAACGAGTTAAAAAAATTATGTATATAATTAAACTTATGCCTCTCAATTTTTTAAACTACGTTATACTTAAACATAACTTCTGAAATTGATTCAAGCTCTATGATGTCGATCTTATCTTAACAGGATTAAAATCGTCAGACTTCATAGGGAGCGCTTTAAAGATATTGTTATTATTAAACTCTTTCATTTATAAACATTGATAGTGTCATGTCCGAAGTTCTATTAAATAAAACTGGAATCACAGCATATGTAGTGTGAATATAAAAACTTATATGACTTATATTAATTCCTGTGAAAAAGATTCAATAATTATTATTTTTTTTTAATTTCTTCTAATCTTGTGCTTATATATTGGATTTATGTCATAATATTTGAAACAGTAACATACTTCAATCAATACAGTTTAATCTTCTTAAGGATATAAAAACATTTTTTAAAGTAGCGTGTCAGAAGTTGTTTTCAATTATAAAATTCAAAAAAATCAGGACTTTTATATCCTTCTTAAAAAGTAAAGTTTTTTTTACAATAAAAGGAAAGGTGACTATTTGTAAAACATGCCCATCTTCTCTAAAAATCTTTGCACAATTCCTGTACATTCATACCATAATTTCAAACACATCTTAACAGTACAACGATGAAATTTTTACCAAAACTTTTGCTAAAGGAAGCAACATTTAATTAAAAGTAAATAAAATACTCGTACATGTATCGATTATCAAATATTACCTTGTAACGTAAATAATTCAATCCTGTGTCATAGCATTGTTTCTCCCACGCGTATGTCAAGGACTGTGATTCATTTAGGAAGTCTGTTTGGGTAGATGTACGCACCAACAATAGAATTTGTATGTACGCGTACCTATCAGTTAATATATGTTATTACTGAAATAAGGATTTGATATTTTTGACTGACGTCATCAATAAAATAGGGAATAACTAATATGTACAATATGTTTTATTATATATTTTTAGGCAGACCCTGGCTAAAGCTGGGAAATTGCCAGGAAAAAGAAAAAGAAGATGTATAATATGTTTTCGAACAACACTAATACCACACAGATACCATTTTGATAGCGTTCACACATGCTCATATGTATGTACATACATATTATATAAATGTGTGGGTGTATTTGTTTAAATTTCCATCGAATTGACCCATATAGCAAAGATTTATTGATCAAAATCAATACTATTTATACTACCGAAAATAAAAACACGAAGACGCAATGATCTTTACGATGTCCTTCAAAACATCGTAAGTATTTATGCCATCGTAAATTAATAGAGTATATTTCATCTGGTATTTACACCTGACCTGCCATTCTGATATCATGATCGGCTTTACAATGAAATTGAATTGAGGCAATCATTTAAGGTGCAGTTTTTTTGCAACCTTAAATAAAAATATCTGCATTTTAGAATATTTTGAACAGTGTTAAGATATTAATTTTAGTCACATATAAAGTTTAATAAGATAGAAGAAAGGAAACAAATATGCATAAAATATATAATGTAGTCCTTACCAATATTACGCTCAAAACAATTTTCTACATCAAATTGAAATTTATTTAAAATATTTTTATTTGAGATCAGAGTTTCTCAATTATATACTTTAATACTGTATTTGAAAATTAAAATTAAATCTTTAGTGGGGAATATATGTCAATATTTTGGTCTATTTTTGAAAAACTGAATTCCATATAGGTATATTGAATGATAATATTAATATAATACGCCTCTCGTCGCCGAGGGCGCGGGTTCGATCCTGGCCCGGGCAAGTACCAATGTGATTTTTCCGAATCATATGTACTTTCTAAGAGTATTTAGACATCACTGATTAATGTTGATTCCCAAAAAGAAGGTTGATGTCAGGCAGGCGGCCGGTCGTAAAAACAAATAGCCAAAAATGTAAGGCAGACCCTGGCTATAGCTGGGTAATTGCCAGGCAGAAGAAGAAGAAGAAGATATTGAATGATAATATAGCCTTTAATCTGAATAATAATTACGAGAACATTAAATAAATACACGATTTTAGGTGGATTTGTGTATAATATATAATAATAACCTATAATAAAATAAAGTATACAGTAGAATCATTATTTGAAATCATTGATCGATTATCTTCAACCCACGTGGGTAGCATCTTATGGAAAACCAGACATAATGCTGGGACAGACTGATATATAGCTAAGACAAATACTTAATGACCATGAATAATTCATTTAATTGTTCTTGTTAAAAATACATTCAAATCTTTGCTTTTATTTTGCTATCATTTAAGAATAATTTTTAAATATATCCATCCTGTTGTTTATCGAAAGATTGTTCGATATAATAATATTTTTTTCGTAAAAAATATAATTTTAATAACAAGTTCTTATCTGTCATCGTACTATCTTGTATTTATATAAAAATTGTCGACTATTGTGAATTGTGTTATATATGTATTTTAATTAATGGTAATTCAATTTTAAAATAAAACTAGTTAATTAGATAAACAAAAGTTTATAAACAAATTTAGAATAAGCTGAATTGGGACATAAGCAAAAACCTTCTTATTTAATATAAATAGAAAGTTTAAATTACTTTATAATAGAAAATTATGACAATAAATCCTTTTGTTATCTTCACAAAGAATCGGAAGACACGACAGCACATTTAATAATACCGAAGACATTTATC